GTAACTCTCAATAAAATACATTCTGGTGTAGAACCATCAAACTTTTCAGAACTTCTAAATCAACATCTTTAGCTTTTCTAACAAAGCAGTGCTTCTGGTGCAATCACTTATAATTGTTTTGTCATAATTGAATGAGTGATCCCTTACATGTAAAATGATCAAATAGTATTATATCTGAGGTGCACTTTTTAGAAAGATTAAAATGTCTTATTTTGTAAATTAATCATAGAGTAAGTGCAGAAGAAACAAAAAATATTAGCATAGCACAAATATATGCAGACATGCATTATGTATAGAATCTTTTTCATTTAACTTTAATATAAACACTTATTTTGTAAATTAATCATAGGGTACGTGGAAAAAAAAAGAAATTGTGAAGCAACAAAAAATATTAGCATAGCACAAATATATGCAGACATACACTATGTAAAGAATATTTTTCAGTTAACTTGTAACATAAACTCCATATTTTATTCATTCTACTAATTATAAAACCTCCATATTATTCAATATCTCTATGTTTTAAAAAATCACAGTACAGTTTAAAATGTGCCCCAATTTTTTTCGGCCCTGAAACAGACCAAGGGCATAACTAGGCATATACATGGATGCACTGTGCGTACATTTTTTTTTTTTTTTTTTGTCCACCATAATATTATTTTCTCTTTATTTAGTATATTTTACATGGAATATAAACGCAAATCCCCTATGCATACAATTTCCAAAAGTCTGGTTATGTCCATGTAGATTGGGTGTACTGAAGAATGTTCTCGCCTCCCTGTGGAGGATACAGCCCAGCTCCCATGTGTGGCACTGAGAGCTAGCAGACCAACAATATCTGTCACTGCCAGACCAGGAACTTTACCTCTACTTCAACCCCTAAGTAGTGATTGCCAAGCCAGGAGACAGGGAGGTACCGTTTATGAAGGACTGATTTATTTTGTTTGCCCACAAATAAAATATACACTGTACTCTCTGAAGTTCAATTTTTTTTTTTCAGAATCACCCTGTTCATTTAACTGGAGTAAGGATACAAATTAATCTACTGATTAAGAAAACATGCTAAGATTGGCTTGATTTTTGAACAGTTGCTCGTCTAGATACTCTATCTTCCTAAATCTTAGATTTAAAAAACAAGGGTGTTAACCAAAAGCTTGATATCCATTTGATTCCATGCTGTCAGCTCTTTCATCACTTTTTCAAAAGATATGTAGTACATAACTGAATTTCTACACTCTAACATTCCAGACACCTGTGGTTTTAAATAAAAGAAAATCCACTTAATTCCAGACAATCCATTTTTTCCTTCAAAGATTATCTAAACTGTACACCCTGACCTCATGGAGCTGAGTCAAGGCAACAAACTGAGTAACAAATAACAACTTGTTGTTTTCATCCACAGCCAACCCCATTGGTTTCTCAATACCATCAGCAATGGTCAATAGGTGGCGCTGAAATAGGCCATCTTTGCCAAACATGGAGATGCGATTGTTGCCATAGTCTGCAACAAGGATGCTCTCTTTGTAGAAACAGACCCCGTAAGGATGGTTCAACTGACCTGGTTTACTGCCATGTGACCCTATGGTGGACTCATACTCTACTCCAGATATTTTACCCTGATTCTGTAAGAAGGTGCATTTCAGCACTTTTATACAGTGATTTCCATGATCAGAGACATATATCAAATACTGATCAGTTTCTGTTTCTGATCCTGATTCTATACATTCTGTGCACATGAACTCGGGATTTTTAAACTGATTATTCTGGTCACCATAACTACCTAGACCTCTGTGAGTGCTTCCATAATCAATTGTTAAGAATGAAGATTTGCTGGACAATACAAACCTGATATACATGTATACACCCTGTACCTTAATGACTGCACTGGGCTCAAAAGGAATGTTTGATACTTTTATATGGTCGTTTTCATACATATGGTTGTTTTCATACACATTTGAACTGCAGGGATTAAGTAACGCAAAAATATAGTAATGTTGTAGCACTTTGAATGCAATAGGTTGCATAACCATATGATGCCTATCAGTTACCTTGAACAGCATTTCATAACCAGATACCTTACATTGGGTCACCAGTTGGTATCTGCAGCCCTGATAGTAGATCTCAGAGAACACATTCTGAACATTGCCTGAATAATCAAAGAAAAGCACACTGCCAGCATCAGAGGTATCTGTCACAGCAAAACTATTAGCATACTTAGATGAGTTAAAGCTGACACTGGAGGGGCCATTCAGAGGGGAACCAATACTTATAACCCTGGTGAACTTAAGTGTGGGTTTCATTATGTTACTACCCTGTTTGGTTGTGCTGTTATCAAAACAGGAAAGATCAGAAGGAGCTGGTGGGATGTTCTGATGATCAGCCAGATTTTCAGTAGTTGCCACCCCAGACTCAAACACCTTGATACCCTTAGCTAAGCTATCCGAGATTGACCTTAAATCACTCAGTGATGGACAGCTAGAGAGGAGCTTTTGACACGCAAGATCTATTTTCAAATAGCTCCCTCGTCTAGCACGGAGGTGGTTCCGAGCCATGTTGATCGCTTTCAGTTTCTCTTCAATACTTGTTGACTGGGCATCATGGGCTTTGATCTTGTCTTGAATTTCCTCTGCCCCCTGGTGGTACTTCTGTTGTAGCTGTTGCAGCCACGTTTTTTCCCTGTCAGCGACGACTTTGGCATCGGTGACTTCGCAGGCTTTGTGTGATGTCATCAGGCAGACCATACAGATATAGATGGCGCAAGTGTCGCAGTAGTATTCTAATGCCTGTTCATCATGTGCGGAGCAATTTCCATGGTTGATGGTAAGGCTACGAAGCTGATGAGAAGCAGTGATTTTCACTCGACTGTGATCTTGCTTGCAGACTGAGCAAAGAAATTTGTTACAGGTCACGCATTGATGGTCTGCTGGTGTTGACTTTTTTAAGGCAGAGCAAATGGAGCACAACTTCACTTCTCCAACATCAACAGTTTTCTTCACTTTAGCCTCCACCTCACTCAACCACGATTGTGCAGGGAAATTTTCCAGACTCCCCCTAGGGGCCTCAATACTCATACCACAGCATGGGCAGCTGAACCTCTGGGGCTCTGTAGGGGGGTCTGTCAACTGAGTGTGGGACTGTAGACAAAGTAGACAGAAGGAGTGGAGGCAAGGGAGAACCTTGGGTGTTTCTGGATTGCAGAGACATATCTCACAGTGGGAAGGACTTGCGGTGGCGCCATCTTCTGGCGATGGAATATTGCTCGCCATTGTGCTGATAATAAAGTGTTAATTAAGTTTTGATAAAGTATGAATTCTGTCAATGATAGCAATAAATCTATAAATGAAGTGAAAAGAATGAAATTAAGATTTACGGCTGTACATCAGGCCTACCCAACTACCAGACTCGGCACCAAATGATCCAGAATTCACCAGTAGATCGACCACACTACCCGTTTTCAAGGTGTGTGTCAGATCGCATTACACAGTATCAGACGCGACACCGCTCTTGCCTAGTACGCGATGTGATAGTGACGATTCTCAGCGGGGTTGAGTATTGCATCACCACTCAAAATTTGTTCGGGGTATTATACTGTGAAATGCGTACTGACTCACACCTTGAAAACGGGTAGTGTGGTCTGATCTACCGGTGAATTCTGGATCATTCGGTGCCGAGTCTGGTAGTTGGGTAGGCCTGTACATGTATAACAAAGCAAGAAAACTTTGAGGGTAACGCCTGTGTTGACAGAAAGTTTGGTTAAGATGACTTTATTTTCCACAGAAGATTGAATGGTTTCTTATTCATTACATTCTCTATCTCGTTTTTCACAAATAAAAGACAAACATTCACAATATTGTGAACTTTCAATTATATAAAGTTCAATTTTATCAACTTAAAATTGTAATTGATTTTCAAATTTTGCCAGACCCTTCTTTTCTAGTATAATTTGATAAATATAAGACAATTAAGATGTATGAACAGGGAGTGAAAAAAAATGGCCGCCATATTGGAGATTTTATTATCTATGCTAATCTTCTTTTCACAGTGTACTGAGTGAACTGAGTAATATTAAGAGAACTGCTGTGAAACTGAAAGTATTACAAGGCTCATTTTAAATTTTTGTTTGAGGAAATTGAAATTTCCCACTTATTTATATCAGTTTATGCATGGTTATCATGTACATTTATCTGAGATACATCCATATGTTCTGCTCCTTAGATGTCCCGAAGTTTTCATTTTAGGTTGAAGCATTATATCCTCCCTCCCCCCCTCTTCGCTTCTCTCCCACATATAAATTCTAAATTTTTATGAGAATTATTAGAGAAAGATGTTGACTTACCTAAATTAATAGCTGGCAGCTGTCTGTGCCAGTCTGTTCTTCTTTTACTTTGCCAAGTGGGAGTTCAAAGTATCACTTTGTTATCAGCGTGACATGATTGGATTCTGGTTGTTGACATCATATCATGAGTGTTCTTGAATGTTAATTTTAGACTTATCTTGAGCTGATACAAGTGTTTATTTTGTATCTTAGTTGGGTCAACTTCTACATTGGGTAGTTCTGTGTCAGATATATGATATTTTATACTTAATTGCTGACTGATATTTTTTTCTTTTTTTTTTCTTTTATGTCAAACAACACTGCATGTATACTGTGGTATGGGAACATTTATTTTACAATTAATGCCAGTCCAAAAAAGTATTCCATATATCATCTTTAATGGCAGATGTGCAGCACAGGATATCTGGGGGAGTGGGGTTGGGGTGGGGTGGGGGGGTTGCACTTTTTTCACACACACCCCACACCCCCAAAAAATCTAACCACCTAATGTGAACAAAAATTTGTTTTTGTGAGTGTTTGAGGTGGTAAAAGGGGCTGTTTTTATCGGTCCATAATACACAAATGAAAATTATATTTGAAGTGTTTTTGTACTGCTTAGTATCTTTAAGTAGGTTATATTTGATTTTTTCTCACCATGCAGTAATGAATTTGCTTTCTTCCCCAGAATATCAAGCAACCTTTGCTGACATTTGAAGGAATGCGAGAAGATTACCCACGTTTTTCTTCCATTTGGGACATAAACACAGGCTACGTTACCTCAGAGATGATTCTGGTGAGCACACTGGCTTGTCTTGAGTTCAGAGACATCTTTTGGTGTAGCTGAATGACATTTCAAATGCAAAGAAATACTGCAAACTGTCCTTCAAGTGATACATGCATAAAACTTGCACTGTTCCTTGATAATTTAAAAGTTAATCCATTTTTAATGCAGTCCGTCTTCATTGACAGCTGAAAAATTCTGAAAAAAAATTATATAAAAGTTCTGTGAATTATCATGATATCTAGCGATATATAAGCTCGACTTTTTCCTGTTAATTCAAAGTAAGGTTAATTTGTTCAGCCATCATAAAATTGCCAAATTACATAATTTTCTTGCAGGATGTCACTGCCTACATGAACCACNACATCGCGCACGATCTCCCGATGATGATATGAAAATTGCCTTTTCGTCTCACTCGGATCGCGAACGATCTCCCTTTGATATGACCTTATGCGAACAAAGTCCTGATGATCTCCGCCGAAGATATGCCGTGAGTGGGGAAGGGGGGTTAAAGATCAAATGAAAAATATATATAATTTATAAAATTCAAAGGGGGAGGGGGGTTAAAATAATGATCTCCTGCTGACGATCTTCCACGAACCTAAGATCTAATAAACGGATATATGGTATATTAGATCTTAGCACGAACGAAGTTCCCTTGAAAATATGAAAAGTGCATTTTATTCTCGCTTACATCGCGAACGATCTCCCGCTAAAGATATGAAGATTGCCTTTTCGTCTCTCTCGAATCGCAAACGATCTCCCGCTGATGATCTTACGCGAACGGAGTCCGCTACAAATATGAAAATTATTTTCTCGTCTCGTTTGGATCGCGAACGATCTGTTGACGATATTACGCGAACGATTCTCCGCTGAAGATATGAAAATTGCCATCTCGTCCCATTCGCATTGCGAACGATCTCCATGTTCCAGCCACGTAATCGTTAAATGGTCCTAAATTGAACATGGCCATGAATAGAAGTGACAGGTACATTTCCCTTCGAGATAATATCTTGATTTTTTCATTGTGTCTTCCTCATTTAGGACAGCCGCCGATAACAATAACGGCGATACAAATGACAGAGCCGCAGCCTGTGACTTCTATTTGCCGCCTTGAGCCAGGTAATAGTAATAAAACTAAAGACAAAAGGCCGACGTTCCCGCAATTGAGAACGGGAATTCACATCTAAACCATCTATATTGTGAATGACCGCTCGCAGGGGCGCACTATTGTTCCTATCTCCCATTGAGAGTGTTATCGGCAATGATATCCTGATCGTATCATTGTCTTGAATCAACTGATGCATTACCTTTATGTTTGAGCTGGACATCGCGGCCATATTTGGCGACGAACTTTTCAAAAATTATCGAGTACCTCATTTTCAAGGTCGACGAAGTTTTCAAAGGGAAAAAAATTACGTCTGTGGAAAATAGTCGGCCGACGAAATTTTCAAGAACGACGAAATTTTCAAGACTTTACCGTAACTAGGCATATACATGGATACACTGTGCATACATTTTTTTTTTTTTTTTTTTTTTTTTTTTTGTCGGCCACCATAATATTATTTTCTCTTTATTTAGTATATTTTACATGGAATATAATCACAAATCCCCTATGCATACAATTTCTAAAGGTCTGGTTATGTCCATGTAGATTGGGTGTACTGTAGAATGTTCTTGCCTCCCTGTGGCGGATACAGCCCAGCTCCCATGTGTGGCACTGGGGGCTAGCAGACCAACAATATCTGTCACTGCCAGACCAAGAACTTTACCCCTACTTCAACCCCTAAGTAGTGATTGCCAAGCCAGGAGACAGGGAGGTACCATTTATGAAGGACTGGTTTATTTTGTTTGCCCACAAATAAAATATACACTGTACTCTCTGAAGTTCAACTTTTTTTTCAGAATCACCCTGTTCATTTAACTGGAGTAAGGATACAAATTAATCTACTGATTAAGAAAACTTGCTTAGATTGGCTTGATTTTTGAACAGTTGCTCATCTAGATACTCTATCTTCCTAAATCTTAGATTAAAAAAACGAAGGTGTTAACTAAAAGCATGATATCCATTTGATTCCATGCTGTCAGTTCTTTCATCATTTTTTCAAAAGATATGTAGTACATAACTGAATTTCTACACTCTAACATTCCAGACACCTGTGGTTTTAAATAAAAGAAAATCCACTTAATTCCAGACAATCAATTTTTTCCTTCAAAGATTATCCAAACTGTACACCCTGACCTCATGGAGCTGAGTCAAGGCAACAAACTGAGTAACAAATAACAACTTGTTGTTTTCATCCACAGCCAACCCCATTGGTTTCTCAATACCATCAGCAATGGTCAATAGGTGGCGCTGAAATAGGCCATCTTTGCCAAACATGGAGATGCGATTGTTGCCATAGTCTGCAACAAGGATGCTCTCTTTGTAGAGACAGACCCCGTAAGGATGGTTCAACTGACCTGGTCCACTGCCATGTGACCCTATGGTGGACTCATACTCTATCCCATTCCCACCATGTATAGATGAGGTGCATTTTAGCACTTTTACACAGTGATTTCCATGATCAGAGACATATATCAAATGCTGAACAGCTTGTCCTAAGAAATGCTGAACAGCATGTCCTAAGAATTGCTGAACAGCTTGTCCTGATAATCCTGAATTGGGACATTCTATGCACATGAACTCTGGATTTTTAAACTGATTGTTCTGGTCACCAAAACTGCCAAAACTACTACCGGCGAAACAAGATTTTGGAAATGAATCATTCTGGTGGAGAAAATCTAAAGCCACTGCTAAGAATGAAGCCTTGCTGGACAGAATAAACATGGGGCAACTGTTATTGGAATTTCTGGCATCGATGGGTGTGGGTCTGGTATGTGAACATGAGTTGATTGCACTGGGCTCAAAAGAAATGTATGTTCCTTTTATTTGGCTTTCATCATACATCCCTATGTGGGAGTCAGGAACAGTTACAAAAATGTACTTTTGCTGCAAAGGTGATACAACACTATGTCTATCTTGTACCTTATAAAGCAACACAAAACCATGTGGAAGTAATCCTGATACCTTACACTGGGTCACTAGTTGGTATCTGAAACCTTGAAAGTATACCTCAGAGAGCACATTCTGAACATTGCCTGAAAGATCAAAGAAAAACACACTGCCAGCATCAGAGGTATCTGTGACACACACACTGTAATTACTTATACTGCAGACACTGGAGGGGCCATTCAGAGGGGAACCAATACTTATAACTCTGGTGAACTTAAGTTTGGGTTTCATGATGTTACTACCCTGTTTGGTTGTGCTGTTATCAAAACAAGAAAGATCAGAAGGAGATGGTGGGATGTTCTGAGAATCAGCCAGATTTTCAGCAAATGCCAACCCAGACTCAAACACTTTGACACCCTTAGCTAAGCTATCAGAGATTGACCTTAAATCACTCAGTGGTTGACAGCTAGAGAGGAGCTTTTGACACGCTAGATCTATTTTCAAATAGCTCCCCCTTCGTGCACGGAGATGGTTCCGAGCCGTGTTAATAGCTTTCAGTTTCTCTTCAGTATTTGTTGACTGGGCATCATGGGCTTTGATCTTGTCTTGAATTATATCTGCCTCCTGGTGGTACTTCTGTTGTAGCTGTTGTAGCCATGTTTTTTCCCTGTCAGCAATGACTTTGGAATCGGTTACTTTGCAGGCTTTGTGTGATGTCATCAGGCAGGCCACACAGATATAGATGGCGCAGGTGTCGCAGTGGTATTTTAATGCCTGTTCATCATGTACGGAGCAACTTCCATGGTTGCTGCTAAGGCTATGAAGCTGATGAGAAGCAGTGATTTTCACTCGACTGTGATCTTGCTTGCAAACAGAGCAAAGAAATTCATTACAGGTCACGCATTGATGGTCCGCTGGGGTTGACTTTTTGAAGGCAGAGCAAATGGAGCACAACTTCACTTCTCCAACATCTGCAGTTTTCTCCACTTTAGCCTCCACCTCACTCAACCATGATTGTGCAGGGAAATTTTCCAGACTCCCCCTAGGGGCCTCAATACTCATACCACAGCATGGGCAGCTGAACCTCTGGGGCTCTGTAGGGGGGTCTGTCAACTGAGTGTGGGACTGTAGACAAAGTAGACAGAAGGAGTGGAGACAGGGCAGAACCTTGGGTGTTTCTGGGTTGCAGAGACATATCTCACAGCGGGAAGGACTCGCGGTGGCGCCATCTTCTGTCAATGGAATATTACTCGCCATTGTGCTGATAATAAAGTGTTAATTAAGTTTTGATAAAGTATGAATGCTATTGGTGACAGCAATTAAGTATCTATAAATGAAGTGTTCAGAAATAGATTAAGATTTCTGGTCTTACATATAACAAAGCAAGAAAAACGTTTAAGATAAAGCATGTGTTGACAGAAAGTTTGGTTAAAATGATTTTATTTTCCACAGAAGGTTGAATGGTTTGTCCTATTCATTACATTCTCTATCTCATTGTTTCCAAATAAAAGACAAACTTCCACAGTATTGTAAACTTTCAATTATATAAAGTTTAAATTTATCAACTTAAAAATAGCAATTTATTATTAATTGTTGACAGATCTTTATTTTCTGGTAGAACTGTATATATATATATATATAAGACAAGATGGATGAAGGGGGAGTAGCAAAAATGGCCGCCATATCAGAGATTTTATTATTTACATTAATCTTCCTTTTACAGTGTCCACAATAACATTAAAAGCTGTGAAATTGCCAACATTGCAAGTCTTGTTTATATTTTTTGTATTAGGAAATTGAAATTTCCCACTTTCTTAAATTGGTTTATGCATACAACTGCATGATTATCATGTTTCTTTAAGACACATATCATACCGATGCCTACTAACCAGTACCAGCCATTTGACTTCGATTTGAGGTTGAAATTTTACATACCCCCTTCTTCTCTTCTCTCCCTCTTAAAAATTCTAAATTTTTATGCGAATAACTAGAGAAAAATGCTGACTTACCTTAATTAAATCCAACGACTGTTACTGATATCGAATAGATGGCCCTGATGTACACCCAGGCACTGGTAGCAGCCCGTGCCAGTCTGTTCTTCTTGCAATTTGCAAAGTGGGAGTTCCAAGTATCACTTATAGTTATCAGCGTTCCATGACAGGGTGGGATTTTGGTTGTTGACATCATGAGTGTTCTTGAATGTAAATTTTAGACTGATCTTGAGCTGATACAGGTGTTTATTTTGTATCTAAGTTGGGTCAACTACTACATTGGGTATAGGCTTGCGTCAGAGATATGGCATTTTATACTTAAATGCTGACAGTTTTTTTTTTCAAAACAACACTGTAAGCTGGGGTATGGGGACACTTATTTTACAATTTATGCCTGTTTCAAGAAGCATTCAGTATAAGGCAGGACAGTACAAGATATCTAGGGGAGGCAGGCACCTTTTTCACCCCCCCCCCCCTCCCAAATTATTATTGTTATAATATAACCACCTGATGAGAACAATTTTTTTCGAGTGTTTCAGATGGTAAAGGGACTATATTTTTATCTGTCCATTTCTTCCCATTCTTTAAAAAAAATCTTTGATTTCAGTGTGTCAAGCTTCTGCCCCTGGCCTGATACATGTAGATGAACTTTTTGACAATAATATTTGAATGTTTCTGTACTGCACATTAACTTTAAACAGATTATAATTGATTCTTTTTCTCATTATTGATGTTTTTTCTTTCTTACCCAGAATATCAAGCAACCTTTGCTGACATTTGAAGGAATGCGAGAAGATTACCCACGTTTTTCTTCCATTTGGGATATAAACACAGGCTACGTCACCTCAGAGATGATTCTGGTGAGCACACTGGCTTGTCTTGAGTTCAGAGACATCTTTTGGTGTAGCTGAATAACATTTCAAATGCAATCAAATACTGCAAACTGTTCTTCGAGTGATATGCAAGTTGCAGTATGTCTTTGTAATTTAAAAGTTAGTCCACTTTTTAAGGCAGTCAATCTTCATAAATAGAGCTGAAAATTCTGCAAAAATCTATACACTTAACTGTGGACTACTCATATTTTCATGTAAATTAAAAGGTATACATATATATATAGTTTAATGCTCCTCAAACACAGAATATATAAGTTCTGAAAATTATTTCGATATCTAGCACTATTTAAGCTCGACTTCTTCCTGTTAATTCAAAGTAACTAAAGGTTAAGTTTGTTCATCCATCATGAAATTGCCAAATTACATAATTTTCTCGCAGGATGTCACTCCCTACATAAACCGCTGCCCCTACACTCGGCTCCACCTACCGGGTATAGTTACTGATGTAATTTATTTCTTACAGGACGTCACTCCCTACATGAACTGCTGCCCCTACACTGTTTCCACCTACAATTACTGACATACATGTAATTTAATTTCTTGCAGGACGTCACTCCCTACATGAACCGCTGCCCCTACACTGTCTCCACCTATTGTACTGTGCCTCAGGTGTTCAGTCTCTTCCGTAGCATGGGTCTGAGACACTTGCCAGTGTTGAATGACATGGGACAGGTGAGCCAGATATATACATAGGGGATGGAGAGAGGAGGTCTTTACCTGTGTTTGTGGTATTAATACAGTCATATATATTAGTACTTAAACATATGTGGCTGGGGGATCTCTGGCACTCATTTAAGTAATTTGGGTTAAGATGTATTAATTTGGTTTCCAGTGACAAAGCATGAGACAATTTGTAAATGTTTAATAAGAAACAGGTACTAGTGTACTGTACATTGTACAAAGAATTATCGGAAATTTTCCAATGATATTTCTTAAAATAACAGATATAAAAATGTTTTTAAAGTTATTGTTAATGAAGAAGTGAATTTTGATTTGAATTTGCCAAGGAAATTCTGCAGCACATCTGCACTTATTTTAAATGCAGGTGTTACAATGTGTACTACAACTAGTATATTTCAAGTATATAAGTATATGCATGTGTAGTATCTTATTGTCATCATCAACATGATTTTTTTTCTTTGCTAGATTGTCGGCATAATCACAAGACATGACCTTACCCATCATGCACTGCAGGAACACATTGTCGACCACTCAGCTAAAAATGACATGGTCCCTGATGAAATGACCAATGGGAGCGTATTGACTCGCGATGAGAGTAGCTATGCATCAACAGCAGGCAACCCTCGCCCCACCAGATCTCCCAGTTGGCAGAAAAGCAGCATACAGAAGAGTTACGCCACATGACATTTCTTAACGTTTCTTCTTTTCTAGTTTTGTGGATGGTTAGTAGGTCACAGGAGTGTAGATTCCAATGAGGAAAAAGCCTTGTCATGTTTTAATGACTGTTGTTCATTTTATGAATGAAATTCCATAGATACAGAATCCCAAGTGATCAAAATAGTCCATCATTTAGTGACAAAGAAAATCCACTTTGTGGTGGATTTTTATTTCTTTCTTTTCTTTTTTTCTTGTTGTACATAACATTTATGTACAGATGTTGAACAGATACAGTAGGTATCAAGTTTATATTTAAGTATAGTTAAAAATCACTCATTTTGAGGTCACAAGTGGAAGTTTTATTCCAAAAAATCTTTAAAAGATTATTCCATATTCCCAGTGATTGTACAGATTGTAAAGGAGTAGAGATTAGAGAGAAAATTCGACCAGGTTATTTAGAGGTTTAAAGGTGCGTAGTGTCCACCAAGCAGGAGCTCGCTGATTGTTTCATACATATATATATCCAGGCCCTTAGCCAGGAATTTCAAAGGGGGTGGTCTTTTTCTGGAAAAGGGGACCTGTGTGTAACTAGATCATATTTTCCCCAGTGTGGACATTTTCCAAGTAAAAAGGGTGGTTCATCCTAAACCCCCCCCCGGCTACGAGCCCAATATCTGTCAATTTTTCACAAAACAATGTGATTTATATTTAATAATGGTTATGTTTGATCAGGTCATATACATATATGAAAGACTTGAAAATAACTGAATAACTGAGAGAAAAATGATCTGATAATTTTATGTGCGAAAAAAAATTACTTTGTTTATTTGTATTTTGGATCATGTCTAGTCAACGGTGGTGATCATGTGACAAGATCATGCGATCATACTTGAGGAGGAGCATGCATAGGAAGTGAAGTGGAAAATGCCTGGTGCTTATTTGTATGCTTGGACACAGAAAAGAAATTGTCTATTTGTGGTGTAATGAAAAAATTTACTTAAGTCAAGTGTTATTAAGGCATAACTGTGAACATGGATTTGTTCTACAAGTCAGAAATTTACATTCATAAGAAAAATATGCATATTATTTACATGTTAATTTATTTATTGGTTAAGATATTCAAGAGATTCAGAATAATGAGATAACTTTCGTAAGTTATGAAATTTGTGTTGCCACAGTGATACAGATGCGTGTTTTAATTTTATTACAATGTAAACTGTACGTTTATTTTTGAACGTTACCGACAAATGCTCAGTAGAAAACATTTGACTTCGGTTTAAAGTTTTACATACATTTCAAGGCTCATAAGATAATGTTGGGTGATAGTGAGGCTAACTGTGTGCTCAAATATTCTAACATATGATGGAGTCGATTTCAATTTTTTTTTTTTACAGGGTCTTCCAAAAGGTGCATGATCAGAATTATTTGAAAGGTAATAATATAAATATTATAAGTGATTGAGGTTTTGATGTAACTTTGGAATACGGGACAGCTGGCACTCTCCCAGACAGGAAACTGGGATGGCTGTAGCCCTCCTTGGCCATCCTGACTCAAAACTTACCCTGGTGCTTTGACTTGATTATAAGAATAAGGTGATTTAAGTTATGAATACATGAATATTTTTTTCAATTTGTACTTCTTTACTTAACTCTTTTTTTTGTTTGTGTGCACGGCTAAAAAAACTCAGAATGAGCTTCAGGATATGCATGGACATATGGATTATGTCCATGGGATATGGGACTCCTAGCTCATGTGTTATTAAGATAACGATGAAAAATGTACAGAAATCTTGTTCAGTGTCTGTCAAACTGGTTTTGACAACGCACAAATTCTTATTCCAATGTATGATATACGAGTACAGAGATCCCCTGTGAAAAATTGTCTCGTTTAACATTCAGTTAAGGTTCTCAATCTATTCTAGAACATTTGGTGTATTTTTTTTTTTTTTTACAGTTCTAATGTTGTTCCGTAATGAAATGTAACAGTTCGAGAACTGTTTCTGGGAAGTCCTTCAGAATGTCCAAGAACAGATTAAGAACAATTTTCATTAAATGAGAAAAACATTGTTCTAGGACAGATTGAGAACCATAAGTGGGCGTAAATTAGACAAATTTTCACATGTGATATAAGAATTGTAACAATGAATTCCAATTCAATGTATTTATTAATTATTTTAGAAAAAAATGTTGTTTATATAAAGTCCCTGAACAAATGTCATGCCAATTGAATAAACTTAGTCAACAAAAATATGGCTTAAGTCCATTTTTTAAAATTATTTTAAAAGTATTACACTGAAAAGTCAACTGGCTTTAACAAGAGCGACAAGGTCCACATTCACAGCCTTGAACACTGTCTGACCTTGACAGAGGTCAAAGGTCATCCACCAGACCAGTCCCAAAAGATTCCCAGTCTAGCTTCATAGGTGGCAACTCTGTGCAAGAGGAGACAGTGTCTGGGTGTGATATGGCACTGCTTACAAATAACAATATTGATTTACATTTAACTGGTACATTTAATATAACGGAAAATATGCTGAAATGAACAAAAAATAAATAAAAAAGGTCCATAAAAACCCCTGCTCAGCTTTACACTTTTTATCACTCTAAAAGCTTATGATATTATAATTTTATAATTTGTTTATTCAAAAATCAGTTTTTATAATCAAATAGATGACTATCTAAATTGCAAACATGCTATTTTGAACAATTAGCCTGCTTTAAGAACCTGGGTTTGCATTGTGCTCTAATTTGTAATAAATAATTCACAAAAAAAAAAAAATTTACTTAAATTACCAATCAAAGCATCATCTCTATGGGATCCATATTATTTATTTGGTGGACTTGTTTTTGTCCATTTAGTCTATTTGGAATGTGTCAATTCCTTAGCATTCCTTGTAGTGGTCTTTCGCTAGTCCTTTTAGCCCATTCTGAAAATTAAAAATTTCAAAAATTCTATGGAATTTCTAATTTTTAACTTGTCGACTCAATGGTATTTTCATTAAAAAAATCATTAAGATATGAAAAGAACTTAATGTTAAGTTCAAGATTATTTAGCATTTTAGACTTTTTTAAAAAGATTACTTCAAGGGAAAAGTATCATCACACTTTCTTCGCAGTACATGTATGATTTTGAATTTTGCTTTTAAACCTATCCATATAAATTGCCTTGGCCTGCTGGCTATTGAAATTTAATTTTTAAAAATGACTTTGAAATATATATAACTTAAACAAAAGCTCTTTTCCCAATATACCTGCCTATTTCTTGTAGCAGACATCATCTTCGCAAACCACTTTTGGCGCCTCAGCTTTCTGTTCTGTGGCAGGCGCTCCACCTATTAGAAATAACCATTTTGAAATTGTGAAAGATGCATGCATATTTATTAAGATGGACTTGTAATATATGTTTTAGTTGGGTGAGCCTGAAGACGACATTCATGTATCATCAGATTTATTCGTGCAGTTTTTTTATGAAAAGAAATCAAACTTTTGTTGCTTTGAAATACAAATGGATTGCAGATGAGCTTAAGTCCAAATGTAAATGTATGATATCATAAATTAAATAATTAAAATTACTTACTTTTTGTAATTAACACAAGACTTTAATGCCAAATGCTAAATGCTAAAATACAGAAAAAATGAGCTCCAGGTAAAAACCATGTGCAGCCCAGGCTCCCAAGTTGGTGGTGCAAATTAACCAGATACAAAGTAAAATATCTTACCATCTATTCCAAGTGCTTTGAGAACATCTTCTAGTGGAACATGTTCTCCTGGATTCTCTTGACGCCAGTTCAGAAGACACTCACTGCCACCTATAGGACAAAAAAAAGCAAAAAAACAATGCACAAAGTCCTTTAATAGCCTGCACTCGCTTATAACAAGTCTAGATTGATTCTGAATTCTACTCAATAACATCATATACTCTAATCAAAACATTATCATATGGAGCAAATTTGTGCCTAAACCTAATGTAAATCTGGTTATCTTTAGCTAGAATTTCATTACTTTGGTCATTTTAATTTGGATAAACTTTGTAGACCTTTCCTACACTGTACATACCTGCAGATACAATAATGGTTCCACCATTTTGGAACCCATCACCCTTAAAATCACCAGTGATGTTTTGTTCTTTTGCCTGTAAAATAAATGAATCATTTGGAAATAAAAAATAATTTAAATTAATTCTTAGACTTGTGTTACAGTGAATGGACAGGTACTCTTGAAAATCTTTTAGGATTTTCCACAGTGGGTAACACTTCAGATTATTGTGTGTGTGTGTGTGTGTGTGCGTGCACACACTCTCACTAATACATTTATGAGTGTTTCTGTGTAAGCCTAATCATTAGGTATAAAAAATAGATCATCCAACACCAGCTCCTTATTTTAATTATAATTTTTGGTTTGTTAAGACTTTACCTTTGCCATAGCTGCTCTTGACACTTTCTTAAGGATGGACATAAGACCACTCAGTATACCATATCTGAAATATATATTTAGCCATGACTATGTCAGTAACAAAGTATTTACTTATACTGTATTTACTAGATCTTTCCACAAGTAACTTGTACATAACTGCTTGTCTTCGCCAACCAAAACTAGTGAATAAAAACTAACATTCTTTTTCAATGTCAATATCAACATAAAATCATTTCATATTTACCGTTTATACCCCATGTCTTTATAGCATTGCTGTTTTTGATCAATATAAACCTCTGAAAATACAAAACACATTTAAATTTAAATTATAAGAATAAAACAAAAACCAAAAATTAAATTGAGTGTTTGTTACCCACATCTACGCCAGGTGGCGCTTGCAACCTGATATTACACATGATATGACTTTGCCCAGAAAGTGTCACTGTGCATGCTAATCACATTTTTTTAAAATTACAACAACTTTATTTACCACATACTTGGTATAAAGAGAAAAGTGCTAACATGGTGGTTAAGGTAAAAATATGTTGAAAGAGGCAAAAAAAAGTACAATACAGTTCAATTACAGAAACATACATACATATTTCTATTAAAAGTAAAAAAAGACTTAATTACAGACAGAAGTCCAATCATGCACAAGCTAAATAGATCAATACCCTACTGGTACAAAAAACATTTAGTTTTCTTCAAACTAAACAGAAATACAGCTTCTTTGTCATGTACCTCCTGAAAAGTAGTTCCCCTTCATGTAGTCTTCCACCCCGACCTCCTCCAGCCCGACTGCGACCATGCGTACGTTATGGGAGTCCAGCTGGGGCTTCAGGGTGCTGATCTCGCGCGAGGCGAGGCGACAGAACTGTCATCCAAAACGACGCAAAAATGTGATCATGCATGCTTGTTTTTCCCAGAAGCTTTCTATGGCAACCATCTGTAATTATAAAGAATTCTTCTGTTCTGAGATCTGACTTGACAAAAGGCAATCATGTATTTAATCAGTGAAAAAGACTGTATACTCCAGTTAAAATGTTTTCATTAAGAGTTCAAAAGACTTTCTCTTGCATTAAATGAGTTGGTATAAAAGAGTGAGATTGTTGAATAGCTTCATAGTAGCAGTAATAATAATAATAAAATCAAACTTAGAAGAGATCTACAGAGACTTTAAGCTTGTAATTCCACATTGTTTATTAAACAATCTTCTTGGTTAAACTAAGATATAGCAATTCCACAGGGCACTATGACTGTTTACGACTGAACGAGACAGAAGACCTTGGACTTCAAGTGGAGATACTCCAGTACTACACGCCAATACGTACAATGTACAGTACATGTACGTAGGATTTGCAGGGTAAAGTTAAGATATATGAATATTGAAATTATCTTTGACCACCTGAAATTAAAATTTCAAAACTAAAACCTTTTTTAAAAATCGTATCTAGTTACCTCTCCTGAAGTCGCACTTTTGACCAAGTTTTTGCCAATCTTGGCCACTTCGGCCGGCAGGCCTTTCGAGGCCGAAGCCATTGTACAAAGTCGTTCTTTTTCTCTCTCGAATATCTTGACAGAATCTCCAAATAAAATGTAGTTAAGAGACTTCGCGGCGTGCACAGGCGTCCTGAGAATACCCTCTGTAAATTTTAGACCACACCAAGCCGATATAACAGTCAATTCCCATAAAATATGTGGCATAGCAAAGGACCGAACCCCTTCGTTTGCACAGGTTACGTAAACTAGGTCATGTTTGGTCACATGACGAGTAACGTGCACGTGAGGTCAAGTGTCATCACTCAAGGCCTGACACTCCGACCCGATATTTCATTCCTGCATATTTTGTTAAAAGGATAGCAACACTTCATATGAGAATCAAAATTTCAAAAGAAATACACTGTAAACAATTAACACAAAGAAAAATAATAATTTCCAATTTACCACATAACTCGCAATATTATTCTGAAACCTGTGCACGTTGACTTCAGTGTAAGACGTATAATCGTTTTTTTTTTTTTTTTTTTTTTTTTTTTTTTTTTTTTTTTTTTTACAAAAATCACGCTTAAAAATCTACTAACTTTGAATGTAGGAATGGATTTATTAACCATTTGAAATAAACAAAGTAATTAATAAAGAAAACTCGTTTACCCCAGAGAATTTTGTCTTATGGCACTTTCCCGCTCATATGAAGAACTGTTAGGCCTAATTAACCCTTCAACTTCAATGTAAAGCGTTTTAAAGTAAAGTGCACGTTGATTAAAATAGAAAAACGATGTATCCATCTTTATCTGTCAATAGCTGTCATTATAAAATGTCATCGTAATATGCAGGATACGCGCTTCTCTTCTGCACAGATCTGTTATTGCGAGGGGAAGATCATAGACGAATAATAATGGTAAGATGGAGGCTGGGAAGGGGTGGGGCAAGGAGAAAACAAAATTGCAAGCCGAGCGGACGAGTAAACTGATATTATCGTACATGTATGTAAGATACAGACACGGTAGAATTGTTTTGTTTTGTTTTGTCTCGTTTCGTTTGTTATAATTGTAATCTACTGGTAGATCCGCCACTGTCATGCACCCGCGACCTGTAAATCATCACAGACCAGCATCATGCAATTAATTGCATATCTCATTTTATTTCATTTTATTTTATTTAATTTTATTTCATTACCACCTCAGGGATGAAAAAAAATAGAAACATATAGAATCTCTCTCTCTCACACACACACACACACACACACACACACACACACACACACACCAAAACCGTTCTAAAACAAAGTCAAGTTTAAATATAACACAATAAAAATTAAGCTTTAAATTGAAGTGGAACTTTAAAAGCCTCGTTTTTTTTCGACGACACCAACATTATATTGCACGGAGGAATAATAATCATAATAATAATAATATGATAATAATATTTATTTAAAGTCTAAAATCCTTATAAGTTCGGTAGAATTAACAATAATAAAATGCTAAAATATTGTAGAATTAAATACAAGCTGTAAAAACATAGTTATACCTTTAATTTTCGGAGTATGACGAATAGCAATTTGCCATTAAAAACGATAAAAATAAAAATTCGATCAATGAAAGTTCCTTTATGGACATGTCCTGTAATAAAATATCTTCCCAGCCCTGATTTTCTTGTCCTCAGTCTCATACATATCCTTGCTAAGATCAAGAAACCAAAGCCCCCATAATTATTCCCGTCTTCTGAGCCTTCTGGGCGTCCAGAGCCGCCATGATGAGGGTGGCCTCTCCCAGCTCAACTAGAGTCTTACCCACCTGGAGGGCAGCGAATGGAGAACAGCCAATACAGATTACCTGCCACAGCCCCATTTTTACACCAGGAACTGAAAATGAAATATACTTTATGTACTCTTACGTTATTCAGCGGGGAGGATAGCAATGGCAATAAAAGGTAAACAATGCAGGCCTACAATGTAACTATAATGTCAATATATACTTTAAAAACAATCTTTTATTTTCGTTTTTTTTTCCTGAAGAAACTTACGAACGTGTTTTTCTTGTTCGTGGGGCCCAACGCGCCCCCCCCCACCCCACCCCACCCCCCTGCCAGGGTTACGCAGGTCACAAAGAGATCTTCTTTTTTCACTCCATAATCACACATATTTTTCTGGCTAATTCTATTTTTATTTATTTATTTATTTATTTAGTTATTTATTTATTTATTTATTTGCACAAAAATAACGTCATCAGCCATTGGCAAATGGTAGAAAGTATAGGACGTTGATCACAATGACTGTTGGAACGCCATGCTTCACTTTTTCATTCTTATTTTAATGAAAAAGCTATATTATTTCGCCATTTAATGTTAAGACGGTCATATTCATAATTACCACATATTAGGCCTATAACAAAGGAACTTGACTTCATGAGCATATGCCCATCCTGAAATTAACCAACATTAATGCCCGGGCATACTAACCTCGCGGTCCTTTGGTGAAGGTGGTGAAGTATAACAATCCATAACATAATATGCTTCCGCAAAATATCACCTTTTTCTGGAAAATAAAATACCAAGATATTCATTTATTGACATAGTAAACTATTTTGGTCATGCATTAATAATATTGTGGCTTCATTAAATGGCTAAATGAATAAGTAAGTAAATTATTAAAACTGTAATAACATTGGTTTTTTAACTTAAATGTATATTTTAATTACGCTTATCCATTAGTATACATATCCTTAAAGCCTACTAAGAACATAATAAGTTAATCATTACTGTGAATTTAGGAAGCGAAAGGAATGGCATGCACTCTAGGCCGATTGTCTGGTAGGTTCTGCTTCCAAGCAAAAGTGAACTGAAATAAAAATGAAAATGATGGATCAAAAACCAAGCTAGATATAACCCCTGACTGTACTCAAACCGAGGTTTCGTTTAGGAAATTGAAAAAACAATTTTTTTCTCGCATTTTTTTCAGCTATTTCTATACTTGGACACATAAATGGGCGATATTTGAGTCACAAGCGCTACACCCTAAAAGTGCTAGGGAGTTTTTGTAGCATCTATTCGGTCGCTTTTGCGTTAAAAATAGTTCAACACTCCTTAATTATAATTGACCCATATGGACAACACGAATGGTCTCACAGTTAGCAGCAAAATTTATGCAGTTTCTCTGTATTGCCATCCACTGCAGGCCCGTTGCCAGAAATTTCAAAAATGTTTATTTTTCTGAAAAAGTGGACCTTCTACCATGAAGCCTCCATAAATAAAATTTTACCCAGAGGGGACTTTTTCTCGGCACCCCCTCCCCCGGCTACGGGCCTGCACTGCCATTATCATCACTAGGCGCCGCACTTGACTGGTATTTCTTCTGAGAACAGAAACACATGTAGCCACGTGCATCCAATGGCTAGAAACAGCCGTAGATATATCGATACATGTTTTTTCTAATAAAAAGTAAAGTAAGCTAGGTATCCTAGTTCCGTTATTTCAACGAATAAGAAAGTTATTTATTTACTTACTTATTTATTTAGTAAGTTGGTTACATAACCTACCTGTAGCCGTGCATCCACTGACTAGATACATCAGTACACGCGATTCCAATCAAAAGGAAAGCATGTCTGGGGTAGAGGAGACACAGTCTCGCTAACATGCAGAGCAGCGTTCCTCTGTCGCTCATCGTATCCAAGAGAGTGCCAAAAACACTCACTGAAATAAAATTAATGGCAAAATGTTGATCCTAAGTTAGAATTCCAATAATAAGACAAGATATATGGTTTTGGAGAACAAAAATTCTTTTCAGCTGTTTGTTTGTGCTTTCTGTTTAGGACCTAACGGTACTTACTTTGATTAAGGTACTTTGCAATAGGTCCGTCTACCATGTCCAAAGCAAAACTGAATGTGTAAAGCCAAAAAGCCTTGACGGGGTGGTTAGGCAAACAGTGAAATAACCCGAGTCCCATGAGGATTCTCAAATAACCTGTGAAACAGAAGAGAAAATGTGCCTCAAGTACCATATGTGTAAAGATTATATTTTTAAATGAAGGTATAATTAACTGCAAAGAACTTATAATTAGGCCCTACACTGATGCTCTAACAGACAGAAATTCTAATATTGTCTACGTTTTATAATCACGCGCAACGAAAGACGGGGGCAGAGTAGATGAAAGATTTTTAAACTCTGGACTAAAATATGCGTTATTTTTGCCCACTAATACACAATGCATATCTTATCCATTTACTTCTACATCACAGAGAGAAAAGAAATCAACATCTAATCTTCTATCTTAGAGCTACAATCTCAAAATAAACAAATTAATAAAATAATTAGAAATAAAAAAAATTCTAAAAAATACTAACAGTTGAATGAGTAAAATAAAGCTAAACCACTTACCTATTATGTGAGGCAAAAATACAAAATAATTTTGTTCCAATTCCATGACGGCAAGTCACACCAGGTATCAAGGTAATTTAATTAGAACAGCAAAGGTTTGGAAATTGATAACGGAACCTCGGTATATATTGGCTATTCCGACCTGCACCTGTTTACGCAATCTACACGTCAATGTAAACAAATATTGTTTTTTTTTTAAAGGTGTTAAAGCAAAACAAACCCACATACAATGTTAATCACATATATTGTCTTGAGTGAGGTAGACACAATTATTTTGAACAAGCAATATGTAAGCCTGCAATAGTTTTCCTACCTGCATAGACTGGTGCATTTGTTTTGTATTGAAATGGAAGTTTTTTGACAACCGCCAGAAAAGCGTGACGTCGCTTGTCGTGATGGTGGACGCACTGGTATGTTGAAATAGGGTTGGTTTGCAGAATGAGTCCTTGAAATGAAAATAAGATATTTAAATCTTGATATAAATATAACCAATGAAAAGATTAAACACGAACGCAATTTCATCTGAACCACATCTAAAATAATTCTTTCTAACTTCATTTTTGAAAAAAAAAAAAATAATAATCAGAAATATTCATTTCTATAAAAGATCACTCTTTGAAACAGTTTGGATTTTTCATTAAAAATCAGAAGAAATAAAAACAGAGAGTAACAAATACTGGTTGACAAACTTTTATTTACTGGCAATTTGCACATCTAAAATTGTGATTACAGCTAACTTCGGTATCACAGATAAACAGATTTTAAATATACTTATATCATTTTCAGTCAAGGGGGTTTTTACTTTAAATCTCAAGTTAATCATATGCATACAGAATTATGACTATGAAGAAACATACCATCAAAGTGTGAACAGAAAGGGAAAGAAACCAAACCCTTACAATGGAATGACACATTTATTTTAAAATTTCATATAACATTCTGAATATTTATATTTATATTAAGAGTAGAAATAAATTCCCATTGGCCCATCGAAATGAATTTAATTGTAATAAATGAATATTTATATAACAGAACATTAAAATGCATACATACAAAAAATCCTAGAAATTAAAAGATCAAATTTCACAGATATATCATTCAAAATCTTGTCAAAACAGAATGTCACAAAAAAGCTGAAATAACTGTTCCTACATGTACACCAATTAAAAAACTGATGAATCTAATACAAAATATCCCTGAAATAACTGAGCTATCACAGACAAATACATTTGAAGTACTCCACACTTCACATGACAAAGTAAGTAATTACCTTTTTTAGGATTTACCACACATGAGCAAGTCAGTATTATCTTATTCAAATATTAAGCTAGCCACAATGTTCCATAAAAGACTTCGCCACCAAACTTTCCACTTAGTCTACTACAAAATGCACTTAATGTGAGCTGCTTCCAGTGTGTAGATGCAGGCAAGTATTTGCACACAAGTGTGTGCAGGCACAAACACCATCATAGATTAATTGAAAAACAAAAACAATTTAAAATTTGAAAAAAAATTCATCTGGTAAACATTCCTTTGATGCTGCTTAGGGCTTTGGTTAAGTATTCACTTCCATAAGAGATCCCTGCCTTTCCTGCTTCCTTGGCTCCACCTACAGTCTGTTTTACTGGTGTAACAGCCATCTTCCAGGCTTCTCTGACCTGCATCTGCCTAACCAACCAATCCAGGCCTTCCTCCAGTCCTGTGCCCTCTGTGGCCGATGCTGGCTGGATATCTGCAATGAAGAAATATGCAGGGAACATATAGATTATTTATAATTAATATTACTGCAGTCGAGATGAATCAATTTCAAGATGTATGATGTCATCTCATGTTTCATTTTGTTGCAATTTTTAGAAAGAGAATTATTCATAAATACACATATAAATTAACACAGTGAACTCTGCGAAACCTTTCACCTTCCAACATACACCATTCTTTACCTAAAGAAAAGGTTTATCTTTGGTATATTATATTGAAAATTAATATGATCGTTATCTTACTCCAATCTTCTCATATCTCAAGCAAAAACTCCAGTCCCAAAGCTTATGAGTTATGCTAACTAACATGCCCACTGTACTAACAGATGCACTTACACCACTGTACTATACAGATGCACTTACACCATGGATGCGATGCCAATACATTGTGTTTTGAACCCACTATGTTCATGGCTTCGAAAATCTCAGAGGGAGTCATGGCGGTTTTAAGATCTTGTTTATTTGCGACGATGAGCACGGGTATGTCATAGTTCAAGTCGTCAGACCCCAATACATCAAGCAGCAGTTCTCCCGCCTCTGCCAACCTTTCTTTATCCGTGCTGTCCACGGTGTAGACAATGGCTTGGGTGTTAGGATAGTAGTGTCTCCATAGAGGGCGCTGTGGGATGGCACATGGAAAGAGCAAGAGCACTTAAGTACAGACTGATTCATAAATCTGCTAAATTTGGTCAAATAAATTGCAAATTTAATTTATGAATTTAGCTATTAATTCATTCATTTATCTTTTATCTAGTCTTTGTTCATAATTTCTTAAGCTATTGATTCATTCATTTATCTTTTATCTAGTCTTTGTTTATAATTTCTTAACTTTTGCTTTTAATGTTTTTAAAATCATATCATTCCTGTGTAAAATGAGAAATCTTCTTCACCAACTTCTTACCATTTTATCTCTGGTCCCAACATCCCACATAGTAATATCAACCCCCTTGTGTTCCACTGTCTCCACATTGAATCCTGAAAAATTTTATTTACCAGTAGTATTAAACTTTGGATGCATTAGGTGAAAACAAATAATTAAAGGATAATACAAACATTCAAATACATTCTATAAAGCCTCAAATAAAAAACAAGGAAAAAATACCTTCATAAGATCATTACCATTTTTTTGTTAATTTAAAGTAAATTCTGGTATTAGAACTGCACTGAAAATCAAGCATATGGTCATTTGGAGAGTATTAAACAAATAACATCAATGTGACACATCATATATGACATGGAAATCCATTTTAATTAAAATTCTTTGGTTTTCTTTGTCCCATATGGACCATGACTTATGGCACAGGTGGTGAACTTTAATTCTTAATCATGCCCTGATCAGGTCTACTTACATGTAGTATTTTGGTATGCAATGAAAAGGGGAAAAAAGTAAGTTTAGCACCATAAGGTATGTGATTACCCAGTCAACATATTACTTTGAGTGTATTTGTGTGAAAAGGACAGAGTGTCATGTCACAGTTATCAGTGAACTCGATTTTGTTTCGTCTTGGGTGTTCAACATACTAGTACCCCTTAGTTACCTCCGCCAAGGAGGTTATGTTTTCACCCCTGTTTGTCTGTCTGTCTTTCTGTCTGTCATCAACATTACTCAAAAAGTTATGGACCAATTTTTACGAAATTTTCAGGAACTGTCAGAAGTGGGCCAAGGAACAGATGATTACTTTTTGGTGGTGATCCAAATCAATAATTAATCAAAATATATTGGAAACGGTACACGCCACACCGGGAGTCTTACCAATCGTCGGAATTGTAGTAACAATTTCTCCAAGTTTAAGCTTGTATAAAATCGTGGTCTTCCCCGCCGCATCTAAACCTGCAAAATAAAGAATGTAATTCGATTTTTGTAACTGTAACAATATTATTATCAGTTAAAAGAAGTACACATGTATGAACTCCATAAGTTGAACCAAGCTTAGAGAGGTAGAGACAATTAAGAGAGAGGGAGATACCAACCCAAAAAGAGAATTCTTGCTTCCTTGTTCTTCGTCCAACTGGATAACGTTTGCCCCATGTTGCAAGGCAAAGTCAGCTTCTGTCCACCTCACTACCTCATTCTACATTTGATACTTTGCTATATCTACCACTGTTTGTCACATCCGCTTCGAAATCGCACACGAAACTGACCAGTAGNCCATGAATTTCTTGTCCTCAGTCTCATACATCTCTTTGCTAAGATCAAGAAACCAAAGCCCTCATAATTATTCCCGTCTTCTGAGCTTTCTGGGCGTCTAGAGCCGCCATGATGAGGGTGGCCTCTCCCAGCTCAACTAGAGTCTTACCCACCTGGAGGGCAGCGAATGGAGAACAGCCAATACAGATTACCTGCCACAGCCCCATTTTCACACCAGGAACTGAAAATAAAGTATACTTTATGTACGAGTACAGTGTTTGACGGGGGATAGAAAAAATGCCAAAATAAATAAATAAAATAAAATAAAATAAAATAAAATAAAATAAAATAAAAAAGTAAACAATGTAGGCTCACAATGTAACTATAAAGTCAGTATATACTTTAAAAACAATCTTATTTTCTTTTTTTTCCTGAAGAAACTTAAAAACGTGTTTTTCTTGTTCGTGGGGCCCAACGCCCCCACTGCCAGGCTTACACAGGTCACAGAGAGATCTTCTTTTTTTTCTACATAATCACACATATTTTTCTGGCTAATTCTATTTTATTTATTTATTTATTTATTTATTTATTTATTTGTTTGCACAAAAATAACGTCATCAGCCCTTGGCAAATGGTAGAGAGTATAGGACGTTGATCACAATGACTGTTGGAACGCCATGCTTCACTTTTTCTTTCTTTCTTTCTTTCTTTCTTTTTAATGAAGAAGCTACATTATTTCGTCATTTTAATGTTAAGACGGTCCTATTCATGATAAGCAAAGATTAGGCCTGTAACAAAGGAACTTGATTTCATGAGCATATGCCCATCCTGAAATTAACCAACATTAATACCCGGGCATACTAACCTCGCGGTCCTTTGGTGAAGGTGGTGAAGTATAACAATCCATAACATAATATGCTTCCGCAAAATATCACCTTTTTCTGGAAAATAAAATACCAAGATATTCATTTATTGACATAGTAAACTATTTTGGTCATGCATTAGTGAATAAGTAAGTAAATTATTAAAAACTATAATAACATTGTTTTTTTAACTTAAATGTATATTTAAATTACGCTTATCCATTAGTATACATATCCTTAAAGCCTACTAAGAACATAATAAGTTAATTATTACTGTGAATTTAGGAAGTGAAAGGAATGGCATGCACTCTAGGCCGATTGTCTGGTAGGTTCTGCTTCCAAGCAAAAGTGAACTGAAATAAAAATGAAAATGATGGATCAAAAACCAAGCTAGATATAACCCCTGACTGTACTCAAACCGAGGTTTCGTTTAGGAAATTGAAAAAACAATTTTTTTCTCGCAATTTTTTCAGCTATTTCTATACTTGGACACATAAATGGGCGATATTTGAGTCACAAGCGCTACACCTAGTAAAAGTGTGAGGGAGTTTTTGTAGCATCTATTCAGTCGCTTTTGCGTTAAAAATAGTTCAACACTCCTTAATTATAATTGACCCATATGGACAACACGAATGGTCTCACAGTTAGCAGCAAAATTTATGCAGTTTCTCTGTATTGCCATCCACTGCAGGCCCGTTGCCAGCAATTTCAAAAGTGCTTATTTTTCTGAAAAAGTGGACCTTTTACCATGAAGCCTCCATAAATAAAATTTTACCCAGAGGGGACTTTTTCTCGGCACCCCCTCCCCCTCCCCCGGCTACGGGCCTGCACTGCCATTATCATCACTAGGCGCCGCACTTGACTGGTATTTCTTCTGAGAACAGAAACACATGTAGCCACGTGCATCCAATGGCTAGAAACAGCCGTAGATATATCGATACATGTTTTTTCTAATAAAAAGTAAGGTAAGCTAGGTATCCTAGTTCCGTTATTTCAAAGAATAAGAAAGTTATTTATTTACTTATTTATTTATTTATTTATTTATTTATTTATTTAGTAAGTTGGTTACATAACCTACCTGTAGCCGTGCATCCACTGACTAGATACATCAGTACACGCGATTCCAATAAAAAGGAAAGCATGTCTGGGGTAGAGGAGACACAGTCTCGCTAACATGCAGAGCAGCGTTCCTCTGTCGCTCATCGTATCCAAGAGAGTGCCAAAAACACTCACTGAAATAAAATTAATGGCAAAATGTTGATCCTAAGTTAGAATTCCAATAATAAGACAAGATATATGGTTTTGGAGAACAAAAATTCTTTTCAGCTGTTCGTTTGTGCTTTCTGTTTAGGACCTACCGGTACTTACTTTGATTAAGGTACTTTGCAATAGGTCCGTCTACCATGTCCAAAGCAAAACTGAATGTGTAAAGCCAAAAAGCCTTGACGGGGTGGTTAGGCAAACAGTGAAATAACCCGAGTCCCATCAGGATTCTCAAATAACCTGTGAAACAGAAGAGAAAATGTGCCTCAAGTACTATATGTGTAAAGATTATATTTTAAAATGAAGGTATAATTAACTGCAAAGAACTAATTATTAGGCCCTACACTGATGCTCTAACAGACAGAAATTCTAATATTGTCTACGTTTTATAATCACGCGCAACGAAAGACGGGGGCAGAGTAGATGAAAGATTTTTAAACTCTGGACTAAAATATGCGTTATTTTTGCCCACTAATACACAATGCATATCTTATCCATTTACTTCTACATCACAGAGAGAAAAGAAATCAACATCTAATCTTCTATCTTAGAGCTACAATTTCAAAATAAACAAATTAATAAAATAATTAGAAATAAAAAGAATTCTAAGAAGTACAAACAGTAAAATGAGTAAAATAAAGCTAACCTACTTACCAATAATGTGAGGCACAAATATAAAATAATTTTGTTCCAATTCCATGATGGCAAGTCACACCAAGTATCAAGGTAATTTAATTAGAACAGCGAAGGTTTGAAAATTGATAACGGAGCCTCAGTATATATTGGCTATTCCGACCTGCACCTGTTTACGCAATCAACACGTACATGTAAACAAATATTGTTTATTATTTTTAGGGTGTTAAAGCAAAACAAACCCGCATACAATGTTAATCACATATATTGTCTTGAGTGAGGTAGACACAATTATTTTGAACAAGCAATATGTAAGCCTGCAATAGTTTTCCTACCTGCATAGACTGGTGCATTTGTTTTGTATTGAAATGGAAGTTTTTTGACAACCGCCAGAAAAGCGTGACGTCGCTTGTCGTGATGGTGGACGCACTGGTATGTTGAAATAGGGTTGGTTTGCAGAATGAGTCCTTGAAATGAAAATAAGATATTTAAATCTTGAAATAAATATAACCAATGAAAAGATTAAACACGAACGCAATTTCATCCGAACCACGTCTAAAATAATTCTTTCTAACTTCATTTTTGAAAAATAAATTTTTTTTCAGAAATATTCACTTCTATAAAAGATCACTCTTTGAAACAGTTTGGATTTTTCATTAAAAACCAGAAGAAATAAAAACAGAGAGTAAAAAATACTGGTTGACAAACTTTTATTTACTGGCAATTTGCACATCTAAAATTGTGATTACAGCTAACTTCGGTATCACAGATAAACAGATTTTAAATATACTTATATCATTTTCAGTCAAAGGGGTTTTTACTTTAAATCTCAAGTTAATCATATGCATACAGAATTATGACTATGAAGAAACATACCATCAAAGTGTGAACAGAAAGGGAAAGAAACCAAACCCTTACAATGGAATGACACATTTATTTTAAAATTTCATATAACATTCTGAATATTTATATTTATATTAAGAGTAGAAATAAATTCCCATTGGCCCATCGTAATGAATTAAATTGTAATAAATGAATATTTATATAACAGAACATTAAAATGCATACATACAAAAAATCCTAGAAATTAAAAGATCAAATTTCACAGATATATCATTCAAAATTTTGTCAAAACAGAATGTCACAAAAAAGCTGAAATAACTGTTCCTACATGTACACCAAGTAAAAAACTGATGAATCTAATACAAAATATCCCTGAAATAACTGAGCTATCACATACAAATACATTTGAAGTACTCCACACTTCCCTGATAAAAGTTTAGTTTTAAAGTTACATAATATTATACATTATTTTTACATTATATATACATTACATTATATATTAAATTATTGCACAACAAACCTACCAAGCTTCAATTTTCTCGAGTTCAGACCCAATATTAAATTCAGGCATTAAAATCTAGCATTCACATGACAAAGTAAGTAATTACCTTTTTTAGGATTTACCACACATGAGCAAGTCAGTATTATCTTATTCAAATATTAAGCTAGCCACAATGTTCCATAAAAGACTTCGCCACCAAACTTTCCACTTAGTCCACTACAAAATGCACTTAATGTGAGCCGCTTCCAGTGTGTAGATGCAGGCAAGTATTTGCACACAAGTGTGTGCAGGCACAAACACCATCATAGATTAATTGAAAAACAAAAACAATTTAAAATTTGAAAAAAAATTCATCTGGTAAACATTCCTTTGATGCTGCTTAGGGCTTTGGTTAAGTATTCACTTCCATAGGAGATCCCTGCCTTTCCTGCTTCCTTGGCTCCACCTACAGTCTGTTTTACTGGTGTAACAGCCATCTTCCAGGCTTCTCTGACCTGCATCTGCCTAACCAACCAATCCAGGCCTTCCTCCAGTCCTGTGCCCTCTGTGGCCGATGCTGGCTGGATATCTGCAATGAAGAAATATGCAGGTAACATATAGATTATTTATAATTAATATTACTGCAGTCGAGATGAATCAATTTCAAGATGTATGATGTCATCTCATATTTCATTTTGTTGCAATTTTTAGCTTCCTTTTCAATAAAGAGAATTATTCACAAATACACATATAAATTAACACAGTGAACTCTGCGAAACCTTTCACCTCGCAACATACATCACTGGTATATTATATTAAAAATTAATATGATCATTATCTTACTCCAATCTTCTCATATCTCAAGTAAAATCTCCAGTCCCAAAGCGTATGAGGTATGCTAACTAACATGCCCACTGTACTAATATACAGATGCACTTACACCATGGATGCGATGCCAATACATTGTGTTTTGAACCCACTATGTTCATGGCTTCGAAAATCTCAGAGGGAGTCATGGCGGTTTTAAGATCTTGTTTATTTGCAACGATGAGCACGGGTATGTCATAGTTCAAGTCGTTAGACCCCAATACGTCAAGCAGCAGTTCTCCCGCCTCTGCCAGCCTTTCTTTATCTGTGCTGTCCACGGTGTAGACAATGGCTTGGGTGTTAGGATAGTAGTGTCTCCATAGAGGGCGCTGTGGGATGACACATGGGAAGAACAAGAACACTTTAACTCAGACTGATAAATAAATCTGCTAAAATTGGTCAAATAAATTGCAAATTTAATTTATGAATTTAGCTATTAATTCATTCATTTACCTATTATCTAGTCTTTGTTTATAATTTAACTTTTGCTTTTTTTTAAAAAAAATTATATCACTCCTGAGTAAAATGAGAAATCTTCTTTGCCAACTTCTTACCATTTTATCTCTGGTCCCTACATCCCACATAGTAATATCAACCCCCTTGTGTTCCACTGTCTCCACATTGAATCCTGAAAAATTTTTATTATTAGTAGTATTAAACTTTGGATGCATTAAGTGAAAACAAATAATTAAAGGATGATACAAACATTCAAATACATTCTATAAAGCCTCAAATTAAAAACAAGGAAAAAATACCTTCATAAGATCATTACCATTTTTTTGTTAATTTAAAGTAAATACTGGTATTTGAACTGCACTGAAAATCATGCATATGGTCATTTGGAGAGTATTGAACAAATAACATCAATGTGACACATCATATATGACATGAAAATCCATTTTAGTTAAAATTCTTTGGTTTAATTGTCCCATATGGACCACGACTTATGGCGCAGGTGGTGAACTTTAATTATTAATCATGCCCTGATCAGGTCTACTTAGTATTTTGGTATGCAATGAAAAGGGGAAAAAAGTAAGTTTAGCACCATAAGGTACAGGTATGTGATTACCCAGTCAACATATTACTTTGAGTGTATTTGTGTGAAAAGGACAGAGTGTCAGGTCACAATTATCAATGAACTCGATTTTGTTTCGTCTTGGGTGTTCAACATACCCCTTAGTTACCTCCGCCAAGGAGGTTTTTTTTTTCACCCCTGTTTGTCTGTCTGTCTTTCTGTCTGTCATCAACATTACTCAAAAAGTTATGGACCAATTTTGACGAAATTTTCAGGAACTGTCAGAAGTGGGCCAAGAAACAGATAATTACTTTTTGGTGGTGATCCAAATCAATAATTAATCAAAATATATTGAAAACGGTACACGCCACACCGGGAGTCTTACCAATCGTCGGAATTGTAGTAACAATTTCTCCAAGTTTAAGCTTGTATAAAATCGTGGTCTTCCCCGCCGCATCTAAACCTGCAAAATAAAGAATGTAATTCGATTTTTGTAACTGTAACAATATTATTCTCAGTTAAAAGAAGTACACATGTATGAACTCCATAAGTTGAACCAAGCTTAGAGAGGTAGAGACAAGAGAGAGGGAGATACCAACCCAAAAAGAGAATTCTTGCTTCCTTGTTCTTCGTCCAACTGGATAACGTTTGCCCCATGTTGCAAAGCAAAGTCAGCTTCTGTCCACCTCACTACCTCATTCTACATTTGATACTTTGCTATATCTACCACTGTTTGTCACATCCGCTTCGAAATCGCACACGAAACTGACCTATATCTACAAGACAGATACAATTGGTCGATCGAGATCACGTGACCAAGAATGTTTACAAACATGGCGGTTCCAGGTTGGAACTTTCGTGTTGGAGTTTATGATGTTGGTTATTTATTACAGGTGGAGAGAAAATTAGAAATTGATAAGAGGGCTATCATAATTAATTGTCTATATAATTCACCAGATACCCATGGTAGCTTGCAGGTGACAGCAGTATCCTCAAAATGGGCTCAGGACTTTGTACCCACAAGGAAGTGAAGATAATTATGCTGGGTAAATATAATATATGGAAATGTTGATGTTTACAGTATTTTTTTTTTTATAAGAAACAATGTAATATGTTTTTTATATGAAATAGGAATGCCAAAAACAGGTATCAGGTAACCCATATGTGAAACTCTTTGTGCACATGTATAAACTCCAATTTATTCCTCTAAAATATGTCTTTATTTATTATGTTTATTCTAATCTACAACAGGTCTGGATGCTGCTGGCAAAACTTCAGTGCTGTACAAACTCAAACTGGGTGAAATTGTCACAACCATTCCCACTATAGGTACATGTGTGAAAAGTTGCTTACAAACCTTTAAGGGATAACAACTGTTCATTTAGGCCAAAAATGAGCTTAGATGAAGGAGTGCTAAAGCTTTACTTTTCTTACAGTTGACACATCTGATTACACGTCAATATTCCATTAGAACAGTGTTCCTCAAGAAATGTGTTTATGTAATTATATTAATTGATTTTATGACATCTACTTCAGTATTTTACAAGTACTCCATCTTAAATTTATTTCTATCAGGTTTTAATGTTGAGGAGCTGAAGTATAAGAATTATGACTTCATTGTGTGGGACGTGGGTGGCAGAGACAAGATTGTGAGTAGTTTTCATTTGAAAGGTTTTTATTATAGGTATAGTAATTACTCATTCTTTTCAATGAGGAAATTTGTAAATTTTACGGATACTGTATCTTTTAGGCCATAATTTCCTTTTATTAGCAGTAGCAACAAAATAAAAATTGCAGTCTACCCTTTAGTTCTATTCTGTGCAGTAAAAACACCACAATGCTATATAATTATATAATTTTTGTGATTATGAAATTATGTATCTGTATTTTTCCCCATTGTAAAGATGAAGTCGTTACTGTAGTTAAAAGGAGTAAGGGACAAACACAGGAAAACATCTTCCAAGATGTAAAAAAAAAAAAAAAAATTGTCAGTTCTCCCCAAAGACAGATTCAGATTTTTTTAGTGCAAAAATGTGTATGTAAATAAAAATAACTGTTTCATTATTAGTTTGTACAGTATTTCTTGATTTATCCAATGACATTTTGTAAAGTTTCCACCCCTTTCAATTTGTTAAAAAGTTAATCCCTGCATCAGGTAATAAAATTTAAAAGTATTATAATAACTGATTTCCAGAGACCACTTCAGCGTCATTACTACCAGGGCTCTGACGCCCTGATCTTTGTTGTCGACAGCAATGACAGGGATAGAATGGAGCAGGCAAGGGATGAGCTGCACAGTATTTTGTCAGAAGAGGAGATGAAAGAGGTGGTTCTTCTGGTTTTGGCCAACAAGCAGGATGTGGCCAGTGCCCTCAGCTGTGCGGAGGTGGTTGAAGTCTTGGGGCTGAACGCCATAAGACACAAATGGTGTAAGTATTTTCAGATAGATTGAATATGAATTTTTTTTACTAAGATTCATACATAATTTATACAGTTGTTGAATATGTTTCTCTTACAAGGATATGTGCATAAATTTTATAGATGATAAATATGCTATTTTTACTAGGATTCATGCATACTTTGTATTAAAAAAGTTGTCAGTCAAAGAAATGGAAGTCATATTTGTACATAAAACATGACCTGGATCAACCAATTGTATTAATAATTGTGTTGATAGCAAGGGTTGCTAGTATCAATAGATGATCAGGTTTTCTGTAGAATCCACATTATTCTTGACCAAGTAACTAAATTGCACATCAAGATGCATATCCTGAAATAAATAATCCCTAAATTATGGCTTAAAAGTAATCTTGTTGTCCAGTGACTAATCCACTGTATGTCAACTAAGTTCAGTTGACTGATATTGACCCTAGTTTATGCAGTAATTATAATATTTATTAATCTATTCTGATTTTTTCCACCACTAGTTATCCAATCTACCTGTGCCATAAAAGGGGAAGGATTATTTGAAGGATTAGACTGGCTGACAAACACACTGGCCAATAGAAAGATGGAAGAAATGCTTGTCAAGCCTGTCAATCAAACTGTTTCCAAGGCAACAGGATTGGCCAAGGAGGGGGTGGGTCACATTGCCAAAAGGTTGCTGAAAAAGTGGTTCACTTGAACACTTGTCAATCAAGTCATTTTTTCAGCAAGTGGGTGTGATCTGTGATCAGCAAGAAAATGGGGTCTAAAGCAGCGTCAGTCCCCAAAATTGAATATTCTTAACAAGATCACTGGGGCAACAAATGTAAGACTGGAACCAAATAACTCCCTGTTAATTTGATCCAATATTAATCAGACTGCTGAAAGGCAACATTACATCTGTTTTGTAAAAAAAAAAAAAAGAATGGCTAACTTTGATTGACTATTGTGAAGTGATCATATATTTAAGTAGACAAAAAATTTAGCCTTATGGTCAATTTCATTTTTGGTCCTAAAAATCCTTCTGAGGCTTTGCTAATTGATTGCTATTGTATTTCTTATGTTGAAGGGTTCAGCAGGCCTGTAACAAGCAATTTTATTTGGGGGGGGGGGGAGGGGGGGATAAATAGGATCTATTTACACGCTAAATTGATCCAACTTGACAATTGGCAGAGAACGTTATTCAAATTTTGGTTCCCAGTAGACCTTTTTGAACCCCCCCCGCCGGATACAGACACGGGTTATTAATAACTTAAGGGCAGTTCATCAAGTTTCTGTAACTTAAATGTAAATTGCTCTTCAGACTTATCTTAGTTCTATTGTTTCTGTACAGTGGAAATTTCAAATAAATGTATCAAAGTAACTGATAAGCTACTTGATTCATATTGCTTATTGACATTAAGAAAGATAATTATGGTAAACAAAACTACTTGACCTTAATGATAATATATGCATTGTGTCTAGGACTTGCCAGATTGTTATAGCTTTGGTAAATGATTAATCTTTTCAGTGGTGAAAAAGATCAATCTTTTAGAAACATAATTTTGGAATCATTGAAATATGTGTCACAGGCCAGATCCCAATCTAGTCCACTTCCTAAGTGGCCCAGACCACATGTTACTGTATTGACAATTGCCACTTTTTCAATAAAAGTTATGTGTAATAACAATTGAAGTCGCAATGTTAAAATTTTTCTGTATTATTCTTATTTCACAGTCAAGCATTTTTTATGGTCTTTCTCGAAATTTGCAGTAAATAGACTGTATGTTTTTTTTATGCCTTTGAAAGTGTATAAAGTATATTTAGCCCTAAACAAATTAAAAACTCTTACTGTAATTTTTAATATAAATGATAAAACTAATAGATGGTTAGTGGGATAAATCAATTATTATATTAATATCCTTATAAGTCCCAATCGTTATTGTTTCTTCATTACTCAGATGACTGTATCTGTCCAAAATTTACTCCTTTTTCCATGTCCTGGTTGTCTTCCTTTTACAACTCTCTGAACTACTGAGATATTTGTAAGGGGCTGATCTGAATCTTTCCCCAGGGAGGTGAAAATGTTTCCACCCAAAATGAATCAGGCCCCAAATATATTCTTACTTCCGTCTGTTCTAGACATGTCATCTGATGCAAACTGCACAGAAGCGCATGTGGGATGCGGTAAAATAGTCGTGTATACGTGCACGCACGCACACACACACACACACACACACACACACACACACACACACGCATGGTAAAGTTAATAACCGGATTTCACATTTTTGCCTCTTCAAGCTAATACTCAAGATTTTAAAATTATTAAGGTAAAGCTAATTGTTCTGAAAGCCGTAGTAATTAGTTGCCGTTCTCCGATCGACGCGGTTTTACAACTTTTAAGTTTAATTCGTATCAATCGGTTTGAGATACAGGTAGAGTAAGACAAAAGCTCCTTTATTTCTACGTACCTTCATCAGGTATTGAATTCAGACTTGGTCATTGACGGATTTAAATGGAATTTTCAGGATAGGAAACGAGAAGGTCCAAGAATAAATGGATAGATTTTGGTTAAGATCCATTAATTAATTAATAAGCTATGTGCAAAAATCATCCGATCTTATTGATAAAAATCACAAATTCGTCACTGCTCCTCAAAATCTGTAGTTTGTGAAGATACAGGTGTCTTCCACAAAAAAAAAAACGGCACATCATGACATTTGCGCCAGTGACGCCTACAGCCCCCTACATGAGTTGTATTAGTTTAAAACAGCAAAAAATAAAGGGGCAAGTCAAAGTTATAGGCTTACAAATAGTAGGCCTACACGACATGCGTGCGTCACTGGCGTTATTCACGTTGGTTTTTCTAATTTTTGTTTATTTATTTAATTTTTATTTATTATTATCATTATTATCATTGTTTATTTATTTATTTATTTATTTATTTATTCATTTATTTATTTATTATTTTGAATGGCCCACATGCATCCAGACATTGTGATGCAAATGTTTACCCACATCACAGGTAAACTGCACGACCTACTTTTGGTCTATTTTAGGCCACGACACCGCTGTTGCGGCGGAGGTCAATAAACACTGCACACCACGTTGAAGTTCAGATTATTATGACGGCGTAGAAATACACAGTAATTGAGGTAAGGTATCTCAGTGTTATCGTGGTGTCGTGTACCCTGAGGCCATCTTGTCGGTCAGAGTTCGTACACATATGGTTGCAAGCAAAGCTCGAGGACAAACGGAACAAACTGCTTCCAAACTCGGAATACTGCCGACACACTTCGTTTGTGCAATGTTTGTCCATGCAATCCACGGCTTGTGCTGTCTGTATCATATAGAAACATGTGAATAGTAAATTGTGAGCCGCCTAACAGGTCTAATGCACACTTTAGTGTTTGTTACGCATTGAAGTTATATGTAACTTAAAAGTGTAAGCAAGGTGAATGTCATAAGAGCGCCAGACGTACAAAGGTACAGCATAAAGTGCATCAAGCGACTAGTCGGATAAAGCCTAGGTCCCAACCGAACGTACGGGCTGCTACGTGTGGTCTACGGCCAAAAAAATGGGGAGTTCGTGCGTGAGGGGCACGTCCATCGTGCGACTTTTGGAGGACGCAAACAGTACGTAGAAACTTTTTGACATGATCAACAGCCGCTACGTGCGATCTAGCTACGTCCTAGCCAGACGCAAGTAACCTAAAAACCGTGCGTCCAAAACGTAGTTGGGACCTAGGCTTAACATGACGTGTGCAACTCGTTACCGTACCAACAAAACCTGACGCAGTCAAAAGGCCTCTTTCCGTTCTCATCAACTTGAACATCTGGGCCCGGTTGCACCAACAGGGCGTAAATTTACTCGGCTACGACTGTCGTAAACCGCAACGCCTGGCGTCCGTGCGCCAGGTTTACTCTCCCTGCTTACGCCCGTTGCACCAAGACAAAAACTGATGGTCGTAACTACGCCCGAGTAACGCTCCGTTGCATCACTGGCAAACAATACGTGAATGAGGAGTTCTCAGCTGCAGCCATAATAGAATGATGACATAAATAAACACAAAAGGAGCATTTCAGTGACGGAGAAATTCATGAGCCACATTATCCCATTTTTATTTAGAAATAAGAACGTTAAAATACGTTAACTTTGCTGTTGCCTTGTATAAATGGCAATAAAATCGTAAATATATTCCGAATCAAAATAATATTATAGTATGCTGTTGTAAATGAGAAAAACGCGTTGGAGGCAGTACGTATTTCTATTAATGGATTTGAACACCTTCACATTTGTAATCGAAACTATTGAGTCTGAAAATAATGCAAAAAAGCCAGCATTGCTTTCTTTTTATAATTTTACAACAGTGCCGACAATTTCATGACCAGGCTTTTTTATCTATGGTTACACCGTGAGGTATCATTTAATTCAATCGATCTTACATCTTGGAGATTGAGAAATACAATATACCTAATACATATTATATTATGAGCCTTAAAATGTTGATATTTTAAGCTTTCGTCTCTATGTTTATATACAGTAAAATATAAATGATATAAAATGTGAATAAAAAATGACTATGGTTAGTTATGGTTTGTCAAAAATTGTGAAAAGCATTAAAGAAACCGTACTGCTGAGAGCCAAGGCGTGTCGACATGAGTGGTAAGATTTAATTTGAGCACATGCATATACATGTACATGGCTACGCATGGCACACAATGTATTTAATAATCACTTATATATATATATATATATATATATATATATATATATATATATATATATATATATATATATATATATAATTAGTTTTTTAAAAACCAAGCTATGCAGAGTNGTCTACCCTTTAGTTCTATTCTGTGCAGTAAAAACACCACAATGCTATATAGTTATATAATTTTTGTGATTATGAAATTATGTATCTGTATTTTTCCCCATTGTAAAGATGAAGTCGTTACTGTAGTTAAAAGGAGTAAGGGTCAAACACAGGAAAACATCCAAGATGTAAAAAAATAAAAAAAATAAAAAAAATTATCAGTTCTCCACAAAGACAGATTCAGATTTTTTTAGTGCAGAAATGTGTATGTAAATAAAAATAACTGTTTCATTATTAGTTTGTACAGTATTTCTTGATTTATCCAATGACATTTTGTAAAGTTTCCACCCCTTTCAATTTGTTAAAAAGTTAATCCCTGCATCAGGTAATAAAATTTAAAAGTATTATAATAACTGATTTCCAGAGACCACTTCAGCGTCATTACTACCAGGGCTCTGATGCCCTGATCTTTGTTGTCGACAGCAATGACAGGGATAGAATGGAGCAGGCAAGGGACGAGCTGCACAGTATTTTGTCAGAAGAGGAGATGAAAGAGGTGGTCCTTCTGGTTTTGGCCAACAAGCAGGATGTGGCCAGTGCCCTCAGCAGTGCTGAGGTGGTTGAAGCCCTGGGGCTGAATGCCATTAGACACCAGTGGTGTAAGTATTTTTAAATAGATTGAATATAATTCTTATTACTAGGATTCACACATAAATTATACAGTTGTTGAATATGTTTACTTTACAAGTCTTAAAGGATTCATGCATAAATTTTACTGATGTTAAATATGTTTATTTTATTAGGAATCATGCATAGAATGAGTATCTAACTTTTAAAGGACAGCTTATAATAAAATATTTAACTAGAATGTTGACTATAAAACTTGATGTGAAAGGGGCCTTTGAAGTTAATGTTGACAGCAAGCCTTGTTAGTATCAATAGATTATCAGGTTTTCTCTGGAATCCACATTATTCTTGACCATGTAATTATAATAATAAAAAAATAATATTTATTTATCTATTGTGATCTTTTTCCACTAGATATCCAATCTGCGAGTGCCATAAAAGGTGATGGATTATTTGAAGGATTAGACTGGCTGACAAACACACTGGCCAATAGAAAGATGGAAGAAATGCTCGTCAACCCTGTCAATCAGACTGTTTCCAAGGCAACAGGATTGGCCAAGGAGGGGGTGGGTCACATTGCCAAAAGGTTGCTGAAAAAGTGGTTCACTTGAACACTTGTCAAGTGAATAGGATCTTTTTAATTGATTCACCTTGAGGAGAGGAGGAGAACCTGATGCAAATTTTGATTCACAGTGGACCTTTCTGAACCCCTCCCACATCCCACCTGCACCCCCGGCTACAGGCTTGGGATATTAATAACTTAAGGACAGTTTGTTACTGTACATCAAGTTAAATGTAAATAGTTCTTCATACTTATCTTATTTCTATTGTTTCTGTACAGTGGAATTTTCAAATAAATGTGTCAAAGTTACTGATAAGCTACTTGATTCATATTGCTTATTGACATTAAAAAAAGACAATTATGGTAAAAAGGAACTCCTTGACCTTAAAATAGCATGATGATATTTACATTGTGTCTAGGACTTGCCAGATTGTTATAGCTTTGGTAAATGATTTATCTTTTCAGTGGGGTAAAAGATCAATCTTTTAGAAACATAATTTTGGAATCATTGAAATATATACATATGTGTCACAGGCCAGATCCCAATCTAGTCCACTTCCTAAGTGGCCCAGACCACATGTTACTTTCAATAGAAGTTATGTGTAATAACAATTGAAGTTGCAATGTTAAAATTTATCTGTATTATTTCTTATTTCACAGTCAAGCATTTTTATGGTCTTTTTCTCGAAATTTGCAGTCAACAGACTGTATGTTTTTTTTTATGCCTTTGAAATTGTATAAAGTATATTTAGCCCTAAACAAATTAAAAACTCTTACTGTAATTTTTAATATAAATGATAAAACTAATGGTTAATGATTAGTGGGATAAATCAATTATTATATTAATATCCTGAAAAGTCCCAATCGTTATTGTTATTTCTTCATTACTCAGATGACTGTATCTATCCAAAATTTACTCCTTTTTCCATGTCCTGGTTGTCTTCCTTTTACAACTCTATGAACTTCTGAGATATTTGTAAGGGGCTGATCTGAATCTTTCCCCAGGAAGGTGAAAATGTTTCAACCCAAAATAAATCAGGCCCCAAATATATTCTTACTTCCGTCTGTTCTAGACATGTTGTCATCAGATGCAAACTGTACAGAGGCGCATGTGGGATGCGGTAAAATAGTCGTGTATACGTGCACGCGCACACACACACACACACACAACACACACACATGGTAAAGTTAATAACCGGACTCCACTTTTTTGCCTCTTCAAGCTAATACTCAAGATTTTAAAATTATTAAGGTTAAGCTAATTGTTCTGAAAGCCGTAGTCCAATATCCGCATTGTAATTAGTTGCCGTTCTCTGATCGACGCGGTTTTACAATTTTTAAGTTTAATTCGTTTCAATCGGTTTGAGATACAGGTAGAGTAAGACAAAAACTCCTTTATTTCTACGTACCTTCATCAGGTATTGAATTCAGACTTAGTCATGGAACGGATTTAAATGGAATTTTCAGGATAGGAAACGAGAAGGCCCAAGAATAAATGGATAGATTTTGGTTAAGATCCATAAATGAATTAATTAGTTATGTACAAAAATCATCCGATCTTATTGATAAAAATCACAAATTCGTCACTGCTCCTCAAAATATATAGTTTGTGAAGATACAGGAGTCCTCCACAAAATTTACTTATTTATTTATTTATTTTTGAATGGCCCACATGCATCCAGACATTGTGATTCAAATGTTATTCTGTGGAATGACCCACATCACAGGTATACTGCACGACCTACTTTCGGTCTATTTTAGGCCACGAGACCGCTGTTGCGGCGGAGGTCAATAAACACCACGTTCAGTTCAGTTCAGATGATGGCGTAGAGACTCTGTGTAATAATAAGGTAATGTATGTCAGTGTTATCTTGGTGTCGTGTACCCTGATATTCAGGCTCTTGGTGGTCATCTTGTCGGTCAGCTTTCGTACACATATGGTTGCAAACAAAGCCCGAGAACAAGCGAAGACCAAATCTGGATACTGCCGACACGCTTCGTTTGTGCAATGTTTATACATGCAATCCACGGTTTGTGCTGTCTGTGTCATGTAGAAATACGTGGATGGTAAATTTCACACTTTAGTAGGCCCTATTTGTTACACCCGTGCATACGCATTGAAGTTATATGTAAGCGTAAGCAAGGTGAATGTCATAAGAGCGCCAGAAGTAGGCTACAAAGGCACAGCACAGTGCATCGAGTGTCTAATGGGGTAACGTGTGCAACTCGTTACCGCACCAACAAAACCTGATACATACAGTAGGCTTCTTTCTGTTCTCGTCATCCTGAACAACATCTGGACCTCAGGGTTTGACACTTGTAACTTTTTTTCGATACTGGTCCGAGATATCGGTAAATATTGCAAGGATGATTTGACATATGACATTTTACTTGCTGTTTGGGTCAGTGACCCCATCGATTCATTGGCCATAGCTTGGTTTTCAGTGGTCCAGGGCTTGTGGGCCACCCTTAATGTCACCCCCCCTCCATCCCCCAAGACTGTCCTATTTTCTCCCCGGGTCTCAAGATAATCTTCTCTTCGAACACGCTGGGGACGGAGTGAGGGATGGATCATTTCTGGGGGTGAAGGGGTGTGCAAGACCTGCAGAATTTTTTTACCCCCCACCCCCCGCCACTCCCACAACCTCTTTCAAAGGAGGTGTTATTGCTGGCTGAGAGAGAAAGAGAGAGAGAGAGAGAGAGAGGGGGAGAGAGGGGGGGGTAGTAGGTTTAAACAGGTATAATCCCTTAACCAGAGAGAGAGAAAGAGATAAGAGAGTTAGTTAGTAAGTAAACGGGTATAAACCAGTGAGGTAGGTACTTAATAATAACAACTGATTTTTTAATAAATATTTTTTTCTTCAGTCAGCAGCTAATATTTATAAGTAATATTACCTCCAATATTTTGATGTATAGGTCTCAGAGCATCTTCATCAGGAATGAGACTCTCCAGGTTATATTAGCTGCCATAATTTGTTGTCGATTGAAGAAAAATTACTTCGTTTGTTTAACCTAACACAGCTGATAAAATTCTTCTCTGACCAACTGAATTTTGGTTTTATAGGGCTGGGGGAATGATATATCAGACATGAATATTGCCCAAAACGCAACGCGGTGGGCCTTGCTGCGCCGCCTGGTGAACTGCCGTGAAAACGCGTCACTATTCTTCAGTGCGAGAACCCAAACCAACAGAGCCATCCACACTGAGTATATCCAGCCCCTGGTACGCAGCGTCTACTTTCCAAGTTTACAGGCAATCAAATCTGGGCAGATACCGGAGATCAACCCGGATATCGTCGTCCTAGACATGGAGGACACGGTCCCAATGGCCGAGAAGGACTGTGCGCGACCTTTGTTTCTGAAAATCATCGAGTCCTGGCACCGCCCGCAACCGCTTTTCGTTCGACTAAACTGCGCAGACGACTATCTGTTAATGTTGAAGGACGCCAACACCCTGTCGCATATCAACGTTGCTGGGTTTGTTCTCCCCAAAGTTCAGCGCGGGAGCGCTTTCGAGGAGTACGAAGTTGTGGTCCGGGAGCAGGAATCGAGATTAAAACTTCCGCTCGGCACTTTTCGGTATATTCCGATGATAGAAACTGCCGAGGGATATGCCAATGCTTTCTCAATAGCCAGTGGAGGTTTCGGCAGGAATTTTGCTGTTGCTATTGGTAACAATGACATATCATTTGACACCCAATCAGAGCCTCTCAGTTCTCTGATACAGACCTTGCGGAATCAGGTGAGGCAGCTTTTTGATGAAATACCTAAATTAGGCTGGCCATAGCATATTTCAGTTGGATTTTAGCATGTTAATATTGATTTTTGCTAATGAAATCAATAAATTAGTAAGTGTTATTTATTAATTTTTTTAAAATTTATTTACACTTCATTATTTTTGTCCTTTCTTTATCTTCACAAAATGTGTTTCGTTTCGTTAACCTGTACTTGTTTTTNGAAACATTTTTCTTTGCCACGTAAGCGTGTGTTTAATTTAGAGACTCTTAATACTCTAATACACGTGTTTGATATCTATTCAGTATGAATGTAATGTCTGACTAAACATTTTCAATATTTTCACACGCAGGTAACTTTTGCCGCCAAATCTGGAAACATCCCAGTTTTATGGGGCGTTCATTTAAACGAAGACGATTATGGGACCTTCGAGCGCATTTGCCTGGAAGCGAAGGCTTCTGGATGTGACGGCGGAATCGCTCTGTCGCCTGCGCATGTCACAATTTTGAACCGGGTATTCTCGACATCGCCGAGTGAAGCCGAAGATGCCCGAATGAGAGTCGATTTCAAAAAATCGAATCCAGGGGTGTCCTATCACAGATACCCGCAGTCCACAAGGACAATTTTGGCGCTGCCTCTTGTTAAAAAGGCGGAGAATATTTTAGAAAGGATTGAGAAGGAAAGGTTATATGACGCTGAAAAGAAGAAGGGCATTCGTAACGACCGAGATGATTTTGAAACACCCGCCTCGGTCACGATTCCGTCACGTGTTCCCGAAATTTTCCCAGGAGGAGAACCAAAATTCAACACGTGGGAAAAAGAGCAGACGATTGTAGCTCCCTTTGAATTAACCATAGATGGCGCAATGATGACACTTTGGGACAGTTCCTTTTATCAAAACAGCCTTCTTTGCAGCAGTGACGAATTTTCTAAAAGCTGCGGTTTGGCAGCGAGGCAATTACCACTGGGACTTTTAGGCATGGTAGCTATTGGGATGTCAGTCAGCACGTAAGTGTATATCGTTGTATTATTATTATTAGCCCTTATAAGGTTTTAATGCGGCGCACTTGTCAGATCCATTGGTGTTTATTTGTAAAGTGAAGATATGGCGTATTATGAAGCGTTCGTGTTTGCATGCAAAGCACGGGTTTGATGTACTAACGTCTTTAATATTCGTGATGTACTAGTACAGAGTGAGTAGCAACTAGTACAGAGTGAGCAGCAACTAGTACAGAGTGAGCAGCAACTAGTACAGAGTGAGTAGCAACCTACTGGGCCAGATTATTCTGTGTAAAACCATATGACTCACAGCCATACATTATTATACATTATTAGCAATTCTTGTTGTAAATGATTATACACATACAGTCATTGATACTCATTCCTATAATATATATTTTAAATATATTTACACAAAAAGGTCAAATGTTCAGAGCCTTTATATGGTTTATTTTGTACTTGTACTTTATAAGGTTTATTTTGTACTGTATTCATGCTAAACATTTGAAAACGAAAATGTACTGTATTGTTTTACATTTTTTTGGTTATTGGTTTCATCGCACACATCGTTAATTCAAGAACTAAAGTATCGTTTTAGTTTCACAGAGCACTGCCGTTACCATCTTGGCTTCAAGAATCTGCGACAGTTACATCCGATGTCACCAGGTGTCACTGTGAGAGCTGTCATGTCAGTCCTTGATGTGAGACGCGCAGGTAAAAGTGGAACATTGCTTGTAGGATGTGACAGAATTCAATACGGCATGGCAGTTAGATATTCTATTTCTATACTATTGGAGCGCTTATACTCCGTATTTCAATATAACTGTTTTATATGGTGTTTTGATAACGCCTACTGAAATGTGTTACAAGAGGAATCTGGAATATTTTAAGGTAGTGTCAAAATAGCAGTGTAATACATTTAATCTCAACTTCACTTCATATTTATTTACAATTTGCTCAATCACCGAACTCGTATTTCTTGGAGTTTATTTTTTGTTGTTGTTGCTGTAGGTAATGAAGGGAAATACGACGTAGTGACGTCACGGCATGAGCTCACAGATACGAGCGGCATTTCGTTACTGAGTGTTGACAAAATATCCATGTTTCCACAAGGCATGTTTCCAAAAATACAACCAAGTGCAGAAACGAAATCGGAGACATCCGCCGTCAAAGTCATTAGTAAACTGAAGGTAAGACGCCGTGAACGAGATCAAACGAGATCAAGATTGTAGACAAAACTGTATTTTGTACTCATAAAGTGTAATCTAATGCTATTCTCTACCTTAGATTGACTTGGTTTTGACGTAGTTATTGCGCTAAAATCCTCGCCGGACACAGAGAAGAATAATGCACAGTATGTTACTGGTGAATAGCCAGAGAAATATCTTGTCAAAAAACCTCCTCTGAGGCCCTGTTTGACGGCATTAACTCGTAGCTTTAATATACCGTGCATAGTGCAACATTTGCCCTTTTAACAGGTTCTTATACCACGTACCTTAGGGGTATCTGAGATATAAGCTATTAATTGTTGGCAGGATACATACGTTTTTTCACGGTATCATATGTAGTGTTAATTCTCTTACCAGAGAACTGTGGTAGATGGCGCCAAAGACTGCTCAAAATGCCCGTTTCACGAAGCAGCTGCTGTCGAGGTTGGAAAGGTAACGACAGCCCTTGACTTTTGTAGTCTTTCATATAGTGATAGTTTCCTGATAAAAAAAATATAGTGTTTGTGAGGTGATACAACATTTAGTTTTTGCTATGGTTTTCAAATTGAAAATAAATGCATATCTTTGAAATAGCGATATCTTTTGTGTCAAAGTGATACTCACTGTGAGTTCGATCAGCGCCATGGGCCTTCATTTGGCAGTCTTTATAATCTCCTAGACCCCTAGAATTTATTTCTCTCCTGATTACTTCAAATGATGGTTTCTAAATATCATGTTTTTCTCCATGAGGTGTACGCTCATCGCCTTGTCAAAGTGCTGACAGACGCCGAGTCACGTGGTCTCTCCCATTTGATGTGGTTGACCAATCCGCACCACTTTAACATAATGAGGGTAAGTTAGTTATGACGCCATAGTTTCCAAATGAACTGAGCTTGGGATTATTTTCATGCATAATTTGCTTTTTTATGTATATGCTCCAAAAAGTGTCCCTAGAAACTGTGTAAACACTGCATTGGCACAATAATGGTAAAACGTGTGCTTACTAGTAGCTTTCATGATATTGATATTGATATCAAAAGCATTAATATCATGTCGTTGTCCTCTGATTATGGATTAAAATGTTAGACGTAGAGCTAATGACCATATAGACTGACACATTTGCCTCTACATTTGAATAAAACATGTGATCACGTGTATCCTACTTTTTATTTGCATATTTTTTTTTTCAATTCAAGTTTTCTCATGCCGAAATAGTGGTACCAGGCCCATTTGTCATGGCTGCTACCATTGCCAACACTGGTCTAGACTATGGCTACGTCATGTACGAGGAAATTACGTCATGTACCAATCCAAACCGTGTTAATGTGGTAAGTGAAATCTCGTTTTGTAATAATCTGGATTTCAAACGCCAAAAATGGCCCTACACGGTTTTGTAAGATATACCAGTTTAGGTAATGATTACATCAGCATTCGTCTTCAAAATCTAAAAGAAGAAGTAAAACTGAGCAACTTTTTAGTGTTACAAAATTAACATCGCTGACCAATGTTTTAAATCCTTTATTTGATATATAATCTATTTTCTATTTTGTTCTAGGGGGACATGATCAGCTCGCTCTCATGCGTCACAGAGGTCAAGGCCGTGGACGGTAACCCAGGTAACAATAACATTAAAACGTGGAATAACATAGCGATGCCAGTTTCATGGCCTCATAAAGGACGCAGAAAGAACGACGTCCAGTGTAAAGGGGGCTTTAATGAAGAATGAACGTTTAATTCTGAATATGATCAGATAATTATGAAGAACATAAAGGTTGAAGTTGGTAATTTAGATTCCAATAGCATCCATATGGCTACAGTTTCTTATTTGAGATATCTGGAAACTATTTCGAGAAACCTTAGTGCCACGAAATACTTGAAGTTAAAATGAAAACTTTTTTAGCATCAGTTATCACTTTAAACAAATTGTTATCCGGTTCTCCAAATGTTATACAATCACGATTAAACCTACGTGACAAGTGCACGCCCTAATATAATTGTGTTTTCCTTTTTTTATCAGATTTAGAAGAATTGACGATGCGCCTCTATGGGCTTATTAATATTGACACGGAAGATATACTGCATATCAACGTGCCAGGTGATGTTTTAGAAAAAGAAGACTTTAAGGCATCAGAAATGGAAGAGGTATTCATGTTATCAATTAATTCATTTGTGTAGGGGTATGACTATTGTGTAATACTGTTATAGTGAAGAATAACGACGACGGTCTGGAGCTTTTGAACGTTTATTCACCGACTCACTTTTCATACAATTTTACAAGTATTTATACTCAAATTCTCCGTATTGATCTGTAATTATGTTTTTTTTCATTGTTTATTTGATTTCCAGAAACTCTCTATTCTCATGTTGACTTTACCATAGAACATTCCCTTATTAGGCAATGTCTAAGAGCCTTGTTTTCAACTAAAATTATCAAAAATACTATTTGAATTACTCATATTTGAATCATATCCAAAACTCAGTTATCATATGATAAACAGTTGATCGAAATTAAAGTCTATTATGAAATTAACCAATCACATAAACTGTTACTGACTTTGACCTTTTCAATCTTTTTCTGACACTAAAAACTTGTTGACTCTTGATGAAACTTAATTTACACTCAATACCACTCAAACTTTTGATTTATTTGATTTCCCTTTTATTACTAATTGTAATTGGTGTAAGCGTAAGTCATTAACTTAACAAAAATACCATTAAGTATGCAATTATTTGTATTGAAAAAAAAAAGAAGCTTGAGGTTACGATTGCTAACCAATGCATGGTTTTAAAAGACTTTGTTGTAATGGAAAAATTAAAACTTTTAAAATAAAAATTATATTTAAAAATGTTGATTAAATATTTCTACAAGAGATGGTATTTCCGCCAATGAATCACCCACTCTTTAAGTGTGGTGTGTAACATTTAGGAAATTGACATATCATATTTAATTAAAATTAAACATTCAATCCATTTTATTTTGCAAAAAAAAAAAAAAAAATAATAATAATAATAAATAAATAAAAAATAATAAAAAAATAAAACCTGCTGCCGTATTTGCACTTGCGTATTAAATTCGTTTAAAATGTCGTCGGCAAGATAAGCTACCCACAATCATTTTTCTTCTCCCCCACCCTAGTTATACATGCGATTTCAGAAAATGACCTGTTTTTTTTTTTAAACCTTCATTCGATTACATTTAAACACGACCAAATGTTTTTTTTATTTTTAGATTCTCCGAGTCAACTGTCCTGCGCTCTTTCACAAAGTGGCGTGCATAATGACGAGGAAGATGATTCGATTTTCTCCAAGTTCTGAGATCTCGTAGATTGTCACATATTCCAGCTCATAATTATGGCAGCACATTTAAGACATATGGTCCCTGTTTAGTGCCCCGTACTGAGATTGCTGGAAGTATAAAAATTCAAATCCTAGACCTATTTCCATTATATCTCACTCATTGGTGTGTTTGAACATGTACTCATAAAAAACAACTTAATGCCTTCACTGCTGTCATAACTAATGGCTATCACTGTTTGGAATATACATTATGGGTTTGGTGATATAATCCAACTATTTCTTGTATAGACCTTATTCAGCATTCATTTCTGAATCATCTAGTTTCCCCTTCTGCCACTTTCAGCACCTCTTCATGCCATCCTTTTCACCAAAAGGATGTAAAGATCGAGCCTTGGTTAACTCCTCTGAGGTGCTACCTGCTAACAGAGGTCATCTGGGTGATGACGTCATTTTTGTTGGAATTCTTGGTGTGCACAGCACAGCAATGTGTGCAGAATAGCCAGAGAAATGCGTCCCACCTTTTTTTTCATTAGCGAATATTGCGAGAACCTTGAACTTCATTTCTTCTATCTCGTTTCTCCCATGTGTATGATATCGGTAAGATGGCACTCTTTAGCCAGCAGGGTGATGACACACATACACACCCACACACAATTAAAATTAATAAATAAATAATAAAAAAACAAACAAATGACATGTATCAACCCCGACTCCGAGTTTCACGGGCATACCCAGAAGGTATGCCCGCTCGCCAGGAGGTTTTTATTTGAAAATGGGTTTTTAGCCCTTTATCTACACGGCGTGACGACACTTACGTCGCGCGCCGTGTCAGTTACGTCACCTTATGATGACACATGGTAATTGATTATTACAGTTTTTTTTATTTAGAGTATCTGGTGTTACCATTATTAACAGTTTTTCATCCAGGCAAAGGTTGCATAGGTGCTGATTTCTCCTTTGTGGCGCTGATTTTTTATGACGTCCCATCTAATGTCATACTGAGTTTTACTTTCTTTTAATTTCCAAATGTATTTAGTTTCTACAGCATGTTTTTTGTCCCAAAATGACTTAGTGTGATTATTATATCTCAACTTGAATTGCCCACCACAAAGGCCTATATATTTCATGCATTTGTTCTTTGTAGTAACCAGTAACTGTTGCTTGGTACACAATATTGTTAGACACGTTCTCCTCTCAAAGGACACTTGCTGGGAAATCTACAATTACATTTCTTATCTTGAGTACTAACTGACATATTTTTTTAGAATTTTCTTGTTGTGACCGTGAATAATTTGCTTTATGTTTTTTATACGACAGTTACTAACTTTTACTGTGGATCTGTTAAATAATCGGTAAAGCTTGCTTCCGCGAGGGAAATGTTTGTCTAGCAACTGGAGGAATATATGTCCAATTTTCGTTCTAACATTTTTAATAAGGTGGGTTGAACAAAATCACTCTTCTGTTGCGTCTTTTCTTTTCACTGGGGCGAGAATTGTTTGTTTTAAAGTTATTACCCAACGACCTTACGTTATATCCCGCCTTTTGAAGCGCCGTCGTATATACGTTATCTGATCCTTCTGCTACCATCCCGCCAGACGAAAGGGATTGCAGTCTTTCACCAATGGCTTTAGGAATGTTCCTTGTGATTGCAGGGGGGTGATTTGAGTTTTAGTGAACATAGATCGGCTGGGCGTTCAGTTTCACGAACGGCCTGTGTTTCCCGGATTTTAAGTCTAATTTAACATCAAGGAAATTAAACTGCTCTATCGTTGGTGGATACAGTGATGTTAAGGCCATACGTTTTGAAGAGCTGGACTAGATCCTTTCTCATGCTGTCATCTGCGCTTCCACCGCAAGATTTCATCACGGCGAGGCCGTCATCCCTATATAGTCCTACCGATGTAACGGGCGCTGCTATGCCGGACATCTTCGTCGGTTCACATGTTTCTTCCTGTATCCTATCCAGCAGAAACAATCCGACTAACTCGCAAATTTCAGCGCCATCATAGGCTCCCATAGAAATATATTAACGGGAGGGGGAGATACCTCTCTGTTCACATTATAAGAGAAATATTTGTGAATATATAACGAATTTTCACCGTGACTCCAGTAAAGGGTAGTGAGGTTTCAGCTATGTCAAGAATGTCTTAACCGTGCCTTGAATGCGACCTCTGCAAATAGGACAAACTTTTAATGCAACGACACAGCTACCACAACAAACAAGGTGACCGCAAGGTAGAATGACGGTCGAAATCTCGGCATCTAGGCAAATTTTGCAAACTTTTTCCTCTCGGAGGCGACGGTTTTCTTCTAAAAGTGTGACTTCGTCAGCAGGGTCTTCTTCCTTGCCTGGTCCGTTTTTCATAGCAGACATCAGGAAACTGTTGGGTGATTTCAGTGTAGGTAGTGGCGGAGAGTTTGTCACAGTCTCTCGTTGCAACGCATTTTCATCATCTGTGTTTGGATTGGTAGCGCCTCTAGGTAGAGACGGGTCTAATTCGCTGTCCGATTCAGAAGAGTCGGTTGGTATATCTTTGTCTTCTATTTCATATAAATAGTCCATCAGCTCTTCTGCATTGTTGAATTCTTTCCCTGTGTTTAAGAAAAAAAAACGAAAATGTAAGTGGAAATTTTATTTTAAAAGTTACATATTTTCTGTAACTAAGCTTATGCTTTTGGCGCTTCTGGTTACATTAAAACTTGGGAAACATATAAATTAGGAATAATTACCTGTTTCTCTCCAATATCGTCTAATCCCCTTGCGCACTAAATCCTCGGAGAAAAACGGTAACACTGCACGTACGAACGGTCTCGTCATGTCAACTTTCTGTTTCTTTTTAGAAGGCTTTGCTGTAGAGTTGCTAGGCAACTGTGGTGTCGATTTGTTATCTAGGTCTGCAGAAACAGCGAAGTGGTTCTCGAATGTTTCAATCTTATTTCCAGAGTGCTCGCCACTACCCTAAGACATTTTATTAATGGCAGGGTTTTTATATAAACGATGCAAATATATAGAATCTTATTTCATATTTCATATTTCTGGAACACAAGCTCAGAAATTCCCAGCTATATAGACAAGAAAATAATCATAAACTTTCTTTAGATTGGTAAGAGTGTGAAACTTTTTTATTTCTATTATATGAGTTTATTAAGACTTAATCAAAAACTCCACGCAGGACAACAGGCCACCTTAGGGTCCGGTTATTATATGAGTCGGAGGAGAGGTGGGGTTGGAAGAGAAAATGGGGAGCCCTGAAATATTTTAGCAGAAATGGGAGGGTGGAGTGGAATTTATATGAATTCAAGTTTTGTCAACTTTCAACTTAGCTTTTCTTTAATTTTTATTAAAATTTGCAATTATAATGAAATGTTTCTTACACCCTTTTATATCATGCGTCATATTAAATTAAAAGAAAAAAACAGGATTTTCTCGTCGAAACTCATATTTAACAGATTCTCCGGCATTTCCCCCGACTAACCAACCATACGCAAGAAAGCCCCCCCCCCCAAAAAAAAAAAAAAAAAATAAATAAATAAATAAAATAATAATAAACACGCTTACTCACGAAGTTAAATGTAGAACAGTAAATATGGTTACTTTTTGCGGTATTGATTAAGGCTATAACTGTCAATTTATGTTTAAAAAGTTTTAATGGAAAATGGGAGAGGGACTACCTTAGACGTTCCGGAGATTGCTGTCTGTATCTGAGCTAGATGCTGCTGAACGAAGGCACAGTTTGGAAACCATACTTCATGCATTTCCCAGGGTTTGTCATCGACTTGCCAGTTGCACATCCCTCCGCCACATTGGAAACACTTGACACGGTCGCCCACGCCCAGGTAGTAAAACCCGGCCTCGGAGAGTTCTCTGGGTCTTTGACTTATTCCGGGCGGCCATCTGGAAAAATAAAGGTGACAGGTTTTTAGCTAAATGTAAGTGTGAAAAGATAAAAGCAACAGATCTAACAGTGTTTCATGCAGTCTTCTTGGACCTTTACCAGCAGATTAAGGCTCCTTAGCAAAATTAAGCTTAGCCTCAAAGAAAGTGTCCCGTTTGGGAGATATTTTACGGAGGATTGTGAAGTTGAATGTACTCGGCGAGAATCCCTCCAAAGGTGTATCGATCCAAGTAGACCCAATGTTATTGGGAACGCACCCTAAGCTCAAGGTTAACTGTATTGTTAACAGAGTAAAATGTATCGTATTGCATTAAGACATTTACCTCTGAAAGGTGGCCAAGCGGACCCGCACGTCAATCAGATCTGGGCGTGCTGGGAGAGGTAGTGCCAAACAGGTACCACTTGGGATAGGCCTAACGTTTTCTAACTGAAATTGATTCTCTTCAAGGAAAATCTTGACTGCATCATAAAATTGAGGATTGTATCGATATTGAATGACGAACTCGCAGCGAGGAAAATGTCGCACGTGCTCCCCAACGCCCGTGTCTCCTTTTTCGAAATTTCGCAGCGCCCCCTTGCAACTTGACACACATTTCACCATGTCGTCAGTGCCGCTGTAAACAAACATGGCGGCGGCTAGGTCGGCTGGAGAAACGGGACTGGTTGCAGGCCACTTACTGTACGTTCTGAATCTTAAAATGGCCTCATGTTTGTCAGAATCAGTCAAAATGTCCTGAAGATAATAACTAGAGCGCCTTCTCCAGCGGTCGCCATAACCATTTGCGCCAAGTGGTGCGCCGTAGGAAGGTCGAGTGAAATGGTTTGTGGCCAGTGATTCCTCGCACGTTTGACCATAGTTATAAGGGAGTCGGTGAAGATTTGCTGCGGCACCAAAACTGCAACAATCCGTAGTAGGCCTATCCATGGACTATCAAAAGATTGCCAGCAACTCCATGTCAATTTTCCGCTGTGGATCGAATCTGAAATATTATATCGAATTCCTGTTTGATAAACGCACAGTGTTTATCAATAATTAATCCAATTATACTGGGATCTTTTCTTTTATGGAGGACAAATGTTAATGGACGACGAATGCATGTCTTAGCATTCTGATAGAGAAGACACACAATAAAGCATGTACGATTGCATATGATACGTTCAATTACAGCGAACGAGAAAATTTGTTAAGGGGTTGGAGCAAAAGGTCAACATATTAAGAAACCGCCAAAATGTATTGTTCTCAAATCTTTTGGTTACTGCCCCTTCCTCTAGCCTTCGACCCTTTATTGCTATAGTATGATTACTTTTTGATAATTTATTCGTATTAAATGGACCTTTCCACCTCCACATCTGTCTTGGGTTTGTTGGGAGTTGTGGTAGAAAGGGGAAACCATTGCCTTTATCCTTTTGTCTTTTCTCACTAAGTTATTGAGAAAAAAAACTTAAAAGGTTGCGATTGCAGTTAATAAATCAATAAATCAAAATGATCACCTTAAAATATTGATTCAAATCTTTCGCTTAACAGAATACAAAGTTAAAACATCAACACCGACCCATCGATTTCCAAGCATAATTGACTACAAGTGAAACCGCGTCAGGGGGCGTGCTCATGAACTGAAATCCATGCTACTGACAATTTACGACCATGTCATGGCTCATACATTTCATTCATTTTATTTGCATTGATATATCGAAGGCTCTGTTCACAACCAAGTTGATAGGCAGACTAATTGATCCGTGGATCAAATATGGCGCGACCCACTTGAAAGGTTGCCGCTGTTTAATTGCTCTGCTTCTACTGGAACGGTGCGCGAGGGAGGGAGGAAATCAACTAGGGGATTATTGAGCACCAAATTTAATTCGCAGAAAATTTAGTCCGCACATTAGTTGGTTGTGAATGGCCCCTAAGACAAGGGCATTCCTTAATTTTTAAGATGGTCTTCACCTGCATCAGGCTTACAGGTCTAGAACGTAGTACCCTTACCATTGCTCTGTAGTAAAATGTGTTCCCCTTTACATACCAGAGTTTTGTTTGAAGATTTAAGTCCCAAAATGACATCATTCGACCAACTGGGTGATTCTTAGGAGCATTTAACGTACGGTGGAGACCTTACAGTCCAGCCGGCTATCCAAGAACCAGCTTGAATATACTCATAGAAGGAAGAGACGTGTTGTGTTTAGGTGCCCTAAGACCTCATTCCCAGAGATTAGATCGATCCAACTAGATCGACCTAACTCCCTGGGGGTTCACGCTAAATAGCTGTCAGCCGGGCGGGCATGAAAGTTAATTACCCCCTTACAGCTTGTAGTAGGCGGGACGGACGTTTCAGCCGGATTATCTGACAGTAATCTAGTGAGACCCCCCACGGGGATAGATCGATCTAAAATCTATGGGAATGCGCCCTAAAGGACACGATGCTTAACAGAAACCTCGTCGACACAATACGTCTTGTCTATTTTATATCTGCCTCGCTTAAAATTTGCTCTGCAGTTTTTGACCTCCTGCCCCTCTCTTTAAAAAAACCGTGCATGAAACCAGACACGCTGGATTGGCTCCCACGCTTTTATCGTACCTTATCTCACATAGGCCAAACACCTCCTAAAGATAACCTGAATCCCAGGCAGGCCCGTAGCCAGGGGGGTCCTGGGGGTTCGAAAGAGCCGCCCCTTTTGCTGGGAAAAGGTCCACTCTGGGTAAAATTTGATCTAGGTACATGAAGGTTTAATGGGAAAAGGTCCACTTTTTCAGAAAAAGAACCCCCCTTTTGTAATTGCTGGCTACGGGCCTGCCAGGATACAAAAACTATTAAGAGATTTTACAGAGTATAGCTATCTATGGAGGAGACATGATCCGATGGCAAGCCCAGATTTCAGAATAATGGCTAAAACTGCCATTTTTGTGAGAAAATGAAATATATTATATTTCTGTGAGTTGTTTACAGTGTTTTAATTGTGAAATATATATCTCATACGAAGAATTGTTATCCCTTAAAGATTATTGATGGAATTCAGGCAGAGTATGAGTGAAGGAAGTATGGGTAAATACTGTGCCTCAGCTTTCCTTGGTTGATTACTTTGCACTCGAACAAATGAATAATGAACTAGCTACTTTTGTTTGATAAATTGCAGTTACCATTAATTATGCCTTAAACACAACGTGCTATCTGATTAATGATTACTTTATACAATACGACTATCAGTGCAAATGATATACTAACAAGTTTTGTGGTCATATTTCTTCCAAACGGTGAAGTCTCGCGATTATGCGCAAATCAAACGAGAATTTTCGGAATTTAGAGGAGAATGCACCAACTTTGAACAGCCCAAATGAAAAAGCAGATCATGTAACAGAAGAGGCAAAAAGCATAGCGCTAGTTGTCATCAGACTGCCACTAAAACATACTTATGGGTGACTCCATTGTCAAGATCAGGATACAGCAGAATTAACAAGAAAGTCCCACAAGGAAGTTCTGTAGTGGAGAAAGGCACGAGGCAGTGGACATGCTAATAAAATTGGCCACAGCCAATACCATGAAGATCACGAACACCGTCCAAGGTAGCAAGAAGATGGACATGGACGGGAAGACGAGAAATGAAATTGATTGCACCATGCCAAATAGACCGAACTTCTTTACTGATGTGAAAGTACCTCGGTACTAAACAGACTGAACACGGGAAACAATCACGGATAATATAAAAAAGAGAAGAGCGGCTGTAGCACTAAAATGTATATTCAAGAAAACAGACTGGCATGACGAGGGCATAAAAGAAGACGGTGCCACGCTCAACCATCTTAGGTTTGCAGATGACATTATAGGGGTAGGAGCTGATGCAAATGAGCCTGAGGGAATGCTATAGGTCCAAGCAGCTGAAAGCCTTAGAAATGGGCTAAAATGAATACCAGCAAGACAGATGTTATGATTGGGCCACTAGCCATCCCCTGAACAACAATGGACATATAGAAGCAGCAGAAGAGTGTCTGTATCATGGGCAAAGATTCAGCCTCAGCGTCAGAACACTGGAGAAAGGAGTTCACGGAAGGATAAACGGAGGGTGGGCAGCGTTTAGGACGCACAAGAATTTCTTCAAGAGTAACCTCAGGGGCGGATCCAGGATTATTTGAAGGGGGGATGCAAAGCCGACCCTACCGCCCCTCTCCCCCCTTGGCGTTGGGTTCGGCTGAAGCTGAAGAAGGTGAGGGGTCCCGAGATTTTTGGTATTTTAGAGGGCGATTGGTGCCATTTGGTACGGTTAGAACTATGATTCAGCTGGTTAAAATTCTGATTTCAGGAGGGAACTATTGGTGTGATTTTTTAAGAAAGGACCCCCTGACCCCCCCCCCCCC